TGTTTGGGTTTTATTTTCTTTTTTCGTTTGGCCATTTCCTTTTCGTCTTGTCTGTGGGCCTGTTTTGGTTGGGGATTTTCAGCATTTTCCGCTGGGGACCGGTGGAGACTCGAAGTGTTTTATTCATCGTCAGTCGTCTAGCGTCATCGTCTTCGTTTCCACTGAGTTTAATGCCATTTTCGTGCCCGGGCTGTTGCTTTGAATAAATGCCCAAGTCGTACGTAGTTTTTCCAAGTTTTTTGTTTTTCGCTTGTATTTTTTTCAGTTGCAGTTTTAACTGCACTAGCGAGGGTCTTTGGAGTCGTCCAGTGCGAAATTTGCGAGGAATGAATGGGCTGTGGTGGGGGAACCGCGACAGGTAAAAGGATGTGGTAATTGCCATGTGGTAGCCAACGTTACCTAAGCAGGTGTTTACGTCTGCGATTTTGTTTGTTTACCTTGTCTGCTATTGCAATTGAACATGCAATAAATAGTTCTTGCAATCTGTCGCATTCAATCTGCTTTCGGTGCAGACCTTGCCCATATTTCGCATTTAATATGCGGCCAAAATGGGCAAGAATGCAGCTCACTGAATTTTCTTGGCATTTTTATGGATAATGAAATGAAATGGTGATTGTTCTTTATAAATATTAATAGAAATCATGGAAATAAGCTTGTTAAATAACATGAAATTGCAATATTTAGAGCATTAAACTAATTTAAAAGCTCTATTAAGTTAATAAAATATCCCAAAAGTGTATTTAACACTTCTACTCGACAGCCTGACATATTTTTAAACGATTGTATATCTTTTTGCATGATTCTTTGTCTTGTTGGCCCACGCGACTCACAGACAATCTGAAATCCATCAAAAGCCCAAAGACATTTATAAATTGGTTTTCAGATATTGTTGCCGTTCTCCGAGCTATTCTCCGAGATATTCGCACACAGCCCACATGATTATAATGAAGGCCCCGATATCTCTTTAATTGGCCTCAACATTGAAATGTCACACCAGTTGGTAGGCATAATTAGAGGCAATAAATTGAGCATTTAGTTTGTTTTCTATTCATTTTCATACCCAACTCGATCTAAATCTATATATCAAATTTCCTTTTACTTACAGTTAATGCTGCATATATGACAGGCCCACACGACATCGACAGCGACTGAGACACGTAAGTTGAGTGTGCAATTAAACCCCGCAAAATAGAATATTTATGTAAATTTTTTACACATTTCGTTGTTTATTAAATTTGTTTCTCCGAGAGAGGAGAACTTTGTCCGGGCCTGACCCCAATCTCTGAGTTGTAATGCAAGTGGGGGGGAGAAATGAGGGGGTGTAGGCTTTGCCACGCCCAGTTTAGTTTCTTTTTTCCTGTGCAGGCGGCATATATATATTTTTTTTATTTATTTTAATATTCGCTGAAGTGTGCAGGAAGTAAGTCCCACAGAGGAAAATGGCCCAGTTTTACATTCAATCAGGGCTGTGACTTTAAAAGCTGGAGTTGGGAGTGAGGTTAAACTTTAATTTTCATTAATTTTTGTAATTAATAAAGTGCTTTACAAAGAGATTATCAGTGTAGTTAAGTTTAAATATACTTTTAACTATCACTTAGTATCGATGGTGATGCCATCTCTACTCGAAATGATGTCAACGGGATGTTTCAAAAAGGATTATCCCACAAAGGATGCTGCTGTGCCGCAAGGAAATTGAATCCCAATGCCGACCCACCATCTCCTCCCTTCCTTCTTTCATCGATGATGTCATTTGAAGTCGCCGGCAGTCACGAAATTGATTTTGCATTAAAATTCGTTTAACAAGAAAATTTCGCTTGCGTTAGGCATAAAAAGTCAGCTCAACACGGGGAGTAAACACTGAGAATCAATTAATTTGCTATTTATATATAAACATACGAGTATATGTATTTGGTAGTGCAAAAAGAAGGAAAAAAAAGTTGAAGGCGCCTCGCAGATTCGCCCCTCATCCCTCTTTTGCTGATTTTCTCGATGGGAAAATGTTTGGCTCGTGGCTGCGAGTTGGCCAACCGCATCGTTTGCTGACCCAATTTCGTTTGGCTAAGAATAGCGAAAAATGTTTAAGCAAACGTACGCTATGCTGCTGTCTCTTCGAATATCTCTCTTCCTCGGATTACACTTGATGTTGTATGCAGCACTATATATGCTTAACTCTTCGTAGCAAGTGCCGAGTGACAAGGGAAAACGGACTTGTGAAAAGCCTAAAAAGTTCTGAAAGTTCAAATTGCGAAAGTGAAATATGCCCAGGGTGTGTCAATATAATATAATATTATTTACTATATTTTTGAGTTAAGCTGTACTGTCAGCGCTTTGACCATATCCCACTAATTAAACGTAATTTATTTAGCCAGTCTGTTAGTGCCACAGAAAATACGCTAACAAATTTATAACAATGGCCAGAGTTTAAGTTGGCTGCCAACCAAAAAGTTGGCGACAAGATTTATTCAATCAAATCTATTTTCATTACATTTTTTGCACTTGTCAAGCTGTTGCTGTAATTGTGAAACCCAGCGGAAGGTAAAGAAAAGCGCCAGAGGCGTGCCTTTTAATAGTCACAGTTTGTCGAATGATTTCTATTTGGTAAATTTCCCACACCAGCAGCAGTGAGTAGCCCTAATACCATGCCATACAAATTCGATGGCGCTTCCGCATTCGTTGTTGCTCGGATGTCTGCTACTTGGTGTTCATAAATCAATTTGTTGCAATTTCAACAATTTTTGTTTGCCTGCTAAGACGGCTGTCGATCAATTGGCATAGGAACCAAAATTAGAAATCAACGAACGCAAATCAATCAAGCGCCTAGCTATTTGCATATTTCTTTATGAACCAGCTGTGGGCATTTGCTAAAAACTTCTGAGGCATAGAGGTGCTAGGAAACTTGATTGGAATTAAGATGTTTATTAGTTTAAAATAAGATGTAGAAGATTGAAAATTTTCCATTTACTTCTGAAAACTCTTCACGTTTCAGTGACATATTTCTATCAACAATTGTCACATAAAGAGTGAAGAATAAAATAACGAGAAAATATTCAAATTACGTGACTTTCATGTCTGAAAGTGTTTCTTCTTCTGTGGGCTTGTTGTTATTAGAAAGTGCACCAGAAAGAGCTTTCTTATCGATGTGTGATAAAAGTATCTACTTGTTTGATGGCTGCTTTTGTAGTATAGATACAATATCTATAAATCTATAATTAGAGCTGCCTTTGTGATCAACAGTTTGTGACGAACTTCTCACGTTGTGGCTGGATGGTTAGGGATGTTCCTGGCTTTTGTTCACCTGACCCGGGGGAGACTCATTGTATCTTTGTCATTTGTCCCCTTTGTAGAGTGTTGTTCCTGAAAATGCCTTAAAAATGATCCCTGGGCGTAGCGTAGCTTCATTACCGATCAAGTGGCTCTTCGAATCGCAGCCAAACGTAACAAATAAGAAATTAAATAAATAAATAAACAAATTATTGTGATATAATCGAAAAAATATTGTGAACGAGTCAATTGGTTTAGGTGAGCAGATTATTTTGTGATACAAACCAAAATTGGTTAAAAACAAGAAGAAATAATTATTGTTTATGAATGAGAATACCAACAAGATGTTTGTGTTTCTAATATTTAATACAAATTTCTTGGCCATTGGCCAATTTTCAACTGAGGAAATAGAAAGAGAAATTTCAGCTTTTCAAACTGAAATGGTTAATTTGTTCCCAAAAACCTTGATCTTGTCCGGCAGCCATGTGCAACGCTTTATAAACTTTGAAATCTTCCGTTTATTCAAAGTCCACAATTTTTGGTTTTATTTCTGAATTTATGAGTAATTGAGCTGTCTAAAATGTTGGGTTTATTTTTGGGCCACCCTCGACTAGTATAAAAGATGACTCATCCACTCATCTAACCCTTGAAATATCGAAAGGGAAAGCTTCGTCGCTTGTTTTGATACCCTTTCCACTCCCAGAAATTTTCATTTAATTTTAATTTCCCTCCCTGCCTCAACAAACATTGCGTTGAGGCGACATTTTTCGTTGATAAAACAACAAACAAAAATCGATAAACGCTAAACTTTTCATTTTCTTTCGACTTTAATTTTCGTGTTTCATCTCATACACCCCCATTTCTCTGGGCATTTCTCCCTTTCGTCTGCGCACAGTGACATAATGTGGTGTGTGCCCAATGTGACCCACAAGGCTTTTGTTTAATTCAGACAAACAAAGGGGGCTTGCGAGGGAGCAAAAGAGTCCGACAGCTACATGAAACGAAAGATATAGTCGGGTTTTGAATGTCACATGATGAGTTCGTATAGACAAAAGATGAATAACATCTCTGACTAGCTTAATAGAAAGTTGATTAATATAGCAGTTGTTATCTTTAATCAGATATCAGAATGTTAGACTAAAAGCTTTATTGTTTCCTTTGCAAAGTACTTGATTCTTTTTCGCTGTGTAGAGAGTGGGCAAGGGAGACCGACGAGCTGTCGCCAATTGCGTGACCCACCCACCGCCTCTTTCCTGTTCGAACAGTGGGCGTGGTTGGGTGAGCTCTTTTTTTTATGACTTTCTTGGCGCCAATCGAATTTTTGGCCCCAAACTTTAATAGACGATGAGACAACAAAAAATTGGAGCTGACTCTTGGCATTGGGTAAGAGATTTCTTGACTGAAGGTTGCTGGATAATAATTTGTCATGGATAATATCTATGCAAAAAAGGGAACCTTTTTCAATGCAAAAGCTATTTCGTTTGTATTACAAAACGAGAAAGAGCTCCAAAGAAAGGATTTCCTTCTTTCTATTGAGAAGTTCAGTATAATAAAGGAGGAGTTCTGCTCATCTTATTGTTCAATTTGACAAGTAGACTAGAAGAAGAGGCTATAGCATACCCATATCATCTTTATGGTTCATTATTTTACCTTAGGCATTCTAATTCTAAGGAAATTCCTTCGCTTTATCCCAAAAAGTAGATCCCAGCAAGCCATTTCCCTTATCTCCATCTACAAATTTAATCAGATCTGTCACCCGTTTCAGTGTATTACAGTTCTCGGCACAAGCCACATTTCCCTAAGTATTTATCCATCAAAAATATTTATTTTTTTCTATTTCGCTAAAGCCGCAAAAGTAAAAAGTGAAAATTCATTGTTAGTTTTTAGCAATACCAAAGGCCAAGACAAAGATCGAAGTTAAGGAAGGCACAGTGGTGCAATCAAGGCGTGTCAAATCGTTCAGAATGAATCCCACCAATTTGGGCAGACAAAATGGGGCTCTAGTGCTGGAGGTGTTGAAGGTGCTGGGTCGTCCGGCCACCAGTTACGAGGTAGCTGAACGGGTCGCCGATGTCTACAGGCTGCCTTTGCAGCGCATCAGTCCAGTGGTCAACGATGTCTTGAAGGCCGGCAAACGTCAGGGTTTCTTTAGGTGCCAAAATGGCCGCTTTTCCGTTGTGCAGTCAGTGGTAGATCAACTCGGTCAAGACATCGATCAGTATGCTGCTGAGATCTTAGCTGGATGCAGTGCCGAAGGACCCTTGCCCCAGATGTCCCCTTTGATGCTCAAGCTTCAGCAACTGGACGGAACACCGCCCATGGTAAACGGAAATGGTCATCGCCAGATGACTTCGGGGGAGCAGCGCGAACTCGTGCCCTCCGGTGATGTGCCTGTGGATGCTCGTCTTCTCATGGTGCCCGTCTCTACACTATGAAAATTCTCCATCTTACAAATTGTACAGATCAGTGAAATGTGCAAAACAACACTTCTGGAGTCCAATAAATTCGGAGCTAGGCTGCGATCTTGGACCAAGAACTAATGTTAGGCGATTTTTAAACAGAATGAGGTGAAACTAATTAGTTCAGCTTTTAGGCTAGACCACAGCTTAAAAGTTGAAATTTCCCCAAAATCGAGGTTATTTCGGATAAAATCCACTAATCTTAATGATGTCCCCGAAAATAGGGCAATGACTCGTCCTCGTTTGTTTGCTTCTTCCCAGGGGCTATTGTCCTTTGTGCGACTGAGTGAATGCGGGACATTCACATCCAGAAAACACTCGCACAAAGAACAAACAGCTGCGGTCTTGTGGCTTACTTTTTTTTTTCTGTTTTTGCATTTGCCCCGTCACAAATGGCACTCCACTTCAGGGTTCCCACCTTGGAGCTCCCACTTGGCAGCTCCCAGTTCTCAGCTCTCAGTTGTCGGTTCTCAGTTTTCCATTCCCGACTGTCCATTGTCAGGTTGTTGCCTGTCTAGGCGAATCCAAACAGAAGTTCAAACTCGAGTGGCAGCTTTTACCGGCTCATTTGCCTTTGGCTTTTGTCTGGCTCACTTGTCAGCTCTCAAAGGCTATTCCAATTATAGCCTCAAGTTGGTTAAAATGGGTTTCCACTAAACGCTCTACTTGAGTTCAAATGCGTTTAATTGGCTATTGGAATTTTCAATATTTTTAAAAGGTTTAAGCTGAAAACAGTTTTAAGGGTATTTAAAAGTTGAGGTTTTCGTCGATGATTTCCTGCTTTTTTCTGCTTTGTTCAAGCGATTTTATTATTATCGCTGGACCTCAACATGAGTAATTCTTTCTGATTTTTCTGATTAAATTAATTGAAGTATAATGCCGCGGCAAGATTTGAGTTGTCATTTGAATCCGTAAGGAAAACAAAAACGAGAGCAAACAAGCAACATGATGACAAGTTCAGTTTAAAAGCTCTTTGTTAGTTCTCAGGCTGGGAGGATGAAAAAGGGAAGTCTTTCTTTCTTTTGGCTTTCTCAGAATATTTAAAAAGTAAAACTTGTATTTTGTTTACATTTACATGCAAGGCAGTCCTTTATGAGTAAACATGAAATGGTTCGTTGACTTTAAAGGAGGTCGCAGCTTATTCTTTGAAAATAAAGGCTTGCTACTTATTTTTTCATATTTTTTAATGCTTGTAATCATATTTTTAAACCCATTAAATTTGGAAAATTGTAATTTAATTATTTTCAAGTAATATAGGGTATAAAAACAGCGACCAACCTACAAGACATTTCTTAATGCGCTTAATTAATTTAAATTAATTTGACAGCCAAGACAGCGCATATAAACAGAGATATGTGCATATTATAAACGAGGGAAAATGTGAATGAAAAATCTGTCAGAAATTAATTGAAATTCAGCAACAAAAATAAGAAAATAATCATGTTTTTGTACGTATTTTTTCCCCCCCAACAAGTTTCATTGCCTAGTAATCGTAGTCGTCATATCTAAACTCGCTACTAACTGTATGTCTTTTATGTTCTTTGTCCTTGCAGAATGAGCCGCCAACACCAGCGGCACCATCACCACCTGCCGCCGCATCAGCAACAGCAGCAGCAGATGCCACAGCAGCAGCAACAGTTGACGCCGCAGCAGCAGCAGCAACATCAGCTTCTAATGGCAGAACATGCGGCGGCCGCGGAAGCGGCGGAGCTTTTTGATCTGCTCTGCGTGGCAACGACAATGCGCCAGATCCTGGCCCTCCATCGGGCCATGTGTGAGGCTGTGGGTCTGCGGCCCTCCCCCTTAAACGACTTCTACCCACGACTCAAGGCCAAGGTGCGATCGTGGAAGGCGCAGGCTCTGTGGAAGAAATTCGACGCCCGTGCTGCCCATCGTGTCTACGGGAAGGGAGCAGCCTGTACTGGCACCCGTGTCCTGGTCATCGGAGCCGGTCCTTGTGGCTTGCGCACTGCCATCGAGGCTCAGTTGCTTGGTGCCAAGGTGGTGGTGCTGGAGAAACGTGACCGCATCACCCGCAACAATGTACTCCATCTGTGGCCCTTCGTCATCACGGATCTGCGTAACCTTGGAGCCAAGAAGTTCTACGGCAAGTTCTGTGCCGGGTCCATCGATCACATTTCCATCCGGCAGCTGCAGTGTATGCTACTCAAGGTGGCACTACTCCTCGGTGTGGAGATCCACGAGGGCGTCAGCTTCGAGCATGCTCTGGAGCCCTCGGGCGATGGAGGGGGTTGGAGGGCAGCAGTTTCCCCATCCGATCACGCCGTCTCTCATTATGAGTTCGATGTGCTGATCGGGGCGGATGGCAAGCGGAATATGCTGGACTTCAGGCGAAAGGAGTTTCGTGGCAAGTTGGCTATTGCCATCACGGCGAACTTCATAAACAAGAAGACGGAGGCGGAGGCCAAGGTGGAGGAGATCAGCGGAGTGGCCTTTATCTTTAACCAGGCCTTCTTCAAGGAGCTTTACGGCAAGACGGGTATTGATCTGGAAAACATCGTCTACTATAAAGACGAGACGCACTATTTTGTGATGACGGCCAAGAAGCACAGTTTGATTGACAAGGGTGTTATCATTGAGGATATGGCCGATCCCGGTGAGCTTCTGGCCCCTGCCAATGTGGATACACAGAAACTGCATGACTACGCCCGTGAGGCTGCAGAGTTCTCTACCCAGTACCAAATGCCAAACCTTGAGTTTGCGGTTAATCACTACGGCAAGCCCGATGTGGCCATGTTTGACTTCACTTCGATGTTCGCCGCTGAGATGTCCTGTCGCGTCATCGTGCGTAAGGGCGCTCGCCTGATGCAGTGCCTCGTGGGTGATAGCCTGCTGGAGCCCTTTTGGCCCACAGGATCGGGCTGTGCCCGCGGCTTCTTGTCCAGCATGGACGCAGCCTATGCCATCAAGCTGTGGTCCAATCCACAGAACAGCACCCTTGGCGTACTAGCCCAGCGTGAGAGCATCTACCGGCTGCTCAACCAGACCACGCCGGACACTCTGCAGCGGGACATTAGTGCCTACACCGTGGATCCGGCCACGCGTTATCCGAATCTGAACAGGGAATCGGTTAACAGCTGGCAGGTAAAGCATCTGGTCGATACGGATGATCCGTCCGTTCTGGAGCAGACCTTCATGGACACGCATGCCCTGCAGGCGCCGCTTGTTGATACGCCTGGTAGGAGGAAGCGTCGTAGTGGAGGTTAGTCAATGACCATTAATATATCTGGAAATATAAATTAATTATTTTTCATTTCCTAGACATACTGCCCCAGGGTGCCTCTTTGCTGAGATGGATAAGTGCTCAGCTGAATGCCCACCAGTTTATTCCCGAGCTCAAGGAGGCTTCGGATGTGTTCCGTAATGGCCGCGTCCTCTGTGCGCTTATTAATCGGTAGGTAGTCCTTAAAACTATTACAAAACGGTAATTAATAAAAAATTTCCTCCTCTCAGCTATCGTCCTGATCTCATCGACTTTGCTGCCACCAAGGACATGAGTCCTGTGGAGTGCAATGAGCTGGCCTTCGCCGTCCTGGAGCGTGAACTGCGCATCGATCGCATCATGACCGCCAAGCAATCGCTGGACTTGACCGACGTGGAGTCGCGCATTTGGCTCAACTATTTGGATCAGATCTGTGAGCTGTTCCGCGGCGAAATTCCGCACATCAAGCACCCCAAGATGGACTTCAGCGATTTGCGCCAAAAGTATCGCATCAACCATACGCACGCTCAGCCTGACTTCTCTAAGCTGCTGGCGACGAAGCCCAAGGCCAAATCGCCGATGCAGGATGCGGTGGACATACCGACGACGGTGCAACGCCGCTCTGTTTTGGAGGAGGAGCGGGCCAAGCGGCAGCGTCGCCACGAGCAGCTTCTCAATATTGGGGGAGGAGCTGGTGGAAACGCAGCCGGTGCTGCTGCTGGCGGAAGCGGAACGGGAGTCATACCACCGCTGGGTCTGTTGAAGATTACTATATTACACAAAAGTCTGGCAAGAAAATGAATCTCGGAGTGGCCGCTAAAAGCGCATTTATGTCAAATTTAAAAGTAGAAATAAAATATATATAACAATTGTTTTTAGAGTAGACTAGAATTGGTCGATTTGGCAGAAATTATAATTTACCTAGCTTGGCTTTAGTTTGTTTTTAAGTTTTTTAACTTTATGTTTTTCAATTGTCGGATATAGTAATATATAGTTATATATTGAAAGATAATCAAGATACTATAAGACTTGTTGAGTAGACATGCAGCCACTCCAGAGAATCATTTTTGTATATCAAATTTTTTTTTTGATTTTTGACTAACTTCTGATTTACTTTTTGGAACAGGTCAAAACGATACGCCACGTCGGTCGAAGAAGCGCCGCCAGGTTGACAAAACCGCCAATATTGTGAGTAAATGCTGGCATTATATTAAGTTATGGATTGGTTCATACGGGAATGTCCAGAAGGTCTGAGGAGTGCATTCGCCCCACTTAATCAGACGTTTGAGCATTTTGTTATATAAATTACACATACATTATGTGTATATTTTTTTTCATTACCATTTTCGTTAAAAATTGTTTAAACTCAACTCTCTTTCTCTCATGTACATTCAACGAAATTAATTGTTAATCACATTTGTTTATCGAAAGAAAAACCAAAATTCATAAAATCAAAACAATCGAAAATCTGTTCCCAAGGTTCAGCTCCTGCTGAGAACAGCTCTCTGTCATGAAATCAGTAACGCCATTAGCGCATTCGAAACCATAAATGAGGTCAGTTCGCTCAGTGTCCAAGTGTCCCAGTGTCGTCCACATATTCCATCTTGTGATGCGTAACCCTCAATCTCCCTCACAGAGTACTAACCTAGCATTATTCCACAGTCATAGTCAAAAGTAGCCAAGTAGTTATCCGTTCTGTGTCTGTCCCAATGCAAAAGCACCCAAGAACATCCCATAGCTTCCCGAAATCACATTCGATCGAAAACAAAGAACCCCGTGCCCCCCAAAAGAATCCGAATCCTTTCCGAATCTGTCCAATGTGTTGACTCTCACCTCTGCCGCGCAGGAGGAGCGCCAGCAGCGCTTGCAAGAGATCGAGGAGAATCGGCAGGAGCGGATGAGCAAGCGGCGCCAGCAGCGCTACCATCAGACGCAGAACTTCTACAAGAGCCTCCAGCTTCTGCAGGCTGGCAAACTTTTGCGGGAGGGTGGCGAGCCAGGGGTGGCAGAAGATGGTACCCCCTTTGAGGATTACTCTATATTCCTGTACCGCCAGCAGGCGCCAGTCTTCAATGATCGTGTCAAGGACCTCGAGCGGAAGCTTCTGTTTCCCGTAAGCGACGAGATCCTTAGGATCTCGCTCTTGCACGCTGAGACTTCTTCTATGTTGTTGTCTTGACCCGTTTTGGTCCTGCGCGGACCATTGTTGATCCTAATCTCTGACTAATGCTGCAGTTCTGTTCCTTAAAATCTATCAAGAAAGGAAAATGAAAGCCACTAACAAGCGCCTTGTGTTAAAAACAAATGCTCTGATGAAAGATTTATTTATCTTTTGGATCCAATTAACAAGTTTTAAAATAACATTACTGAAATAAGTTTACCTTGAATACTCCCTTTTTCTCAGAATAAAGTTGCATACCAAAATGTGATAAACTTCAGGATAGGTTCTTGTTTGCTATGTAAATGTTTAAAAACTGTTTTAAAAACTTCCCAACTTGGCTGTAATATCTGCTGTGAAATAACTTCTAGTTCTATAAGACGTTAGATTCGGCTAGGCCAGTCTGCCAGTTACTAATTCTACTATTCGCTAAGCTAAGCTCGTTCATCTAACTATTCAAAATTGGATATTTTGTTAAGCTTACGTTTCGTTGTTTGCCTTTTGATTTGATTGTTTTTTGTTAATTCGTTGTTAGACGATCAGTAATCAGACTTAAAATATTTATGCATATCTATAAATTTTGATTTCTTCACCCCTTTCTACTCCGCCTCCGAACTTTAATTATTTAAATGCCCAAAAAACACAAAAAATCCAAAACACAATCACAAACACACACCACCAAAGGATCGGGAACGCGGGGACATACCCTCAGCATTACCGCGCACGGCGGACGAGCAGTTCAGCGATCGCATCAAAAACATGGAGCAGCGAATGACGGGACGCGGTGGTCTTGGTGGCGACAAGAAACCCAAGGATCTGATGCGGGCCATCGGCAAGATCGACTCAAACGATTGGAATGTGCGCGAGATCGAGAAGAAGATTGAGCTGTCCAAGAAGACGGAGATCCATGGGCCCAAGGGGCGGGAGAAAGTGCCCAAGTGGAGCAAAGAGCAGTTTCAAGCTCGCCAGCACAAGATGTCCAAGCCACAGCGTCAGGATTCGCGCGAGGCGGAGAAGTTCAAGGACATCGACCAGACCATTCGCAACCTGGACAAGCAACTGAAGGAGGGCCACAATCTGGATGTGGGCGAGCGGGGTCGCAACAAGGTGGCCTCCATTGCCGGGCAGTTTGGCAAAAAGGATGAAACGAATTCGGATGAGAAGAATGCGGGCAGCAGCAATGCCACCACCAACACCAACAACACAGTCATACCCAAATCTGTGAGTAATCTTGCGTTCACCCACCACCTCCTTGTATGTATCTATTGTTTAGTTTGGGTTTCCATTGTTATTTTGTTTCCCCTGTGCTATTATATATATATATTTGCTTTCCTGCTTTTCCTTATATTTTGCCTTTATATATCCTTCGTGGTTGCTTCCTGTGGTTGCTATTTGTGCTGCTGTCGATGATGTTGTTAGCGTGCTTTAGGCAAAAGTCTAGGCAATTTTCCACACACACTCATTGTCATCAAACCACATCTTTCACTCATTTGTACATGACACCCATCGAATGTATAGCAAAAGTTTAAGCGTTATCGTTAATTGTTAATTATTTTCAAAGTTATACTTTACCTAATACTAATCTATTGCCATAATTTAGAGTTCCAAGGTGGCGCTGGCCTTTAAAAAGCAGGCTGCCTCCGAAAAGTGCCGCTTCTGCAAGCAAACTGTCTACCTGATGGAGAAGACCACCGTTGAGGGATTGGTTCTGCATCGTAATTGCCTTAAGTGCCACCACTGCCACACCAATTTGCGTCTGGGAGGCTATGCCTTCGATCGAGACGATCCACAGGGCCGTTTCTACTGCACCCAGCACTTCCGGCTGCCGCCCAAGCCGCTGCCTCAGCGCACCAACAAGGGCAGGGTGAGTATTAATCTGAAATCTATTCCGATTTCGATTTCTTAAACTTAAATTAACTAATTTTTTCAGAAATCTGCTGCCGCTCAACCCGCCTCGCCTGCCGTTCCACCCAGTGCAGCTGCCACAACTGAGCCCATGGACACCACTCCACCCAGGGATCAAGTGGATCTCCTGGAAACGTCGCGAGCTACAGCCTCAGCTGATGCCATGTCCGATGACGAGGCCAATGTCATTGATGAGCACGAGTGGTCGGGTCGCAACTTCCTGCCCGAATCCAACAATGATTCCCAGTCAGAGCTATCCAGTTCGGATGAATCTGGCACAGAGTCGGATTCGGAGATGTTCGAGGAGGCAGATGATTCACCTTTTGGTGCCCAGACTCTCCAACTGGCTTCGGACTGGATTGGGAAGCAGTACTGTGAGGACAGCGATGATTCTGATGATTTCTACGACTCTAGTGAAGGTATTGCGGGTGAGTGGGCACTAAGGGGGAGATCTAAATTCCGTTAATCTAATACTTTGTGAAATTTGTTATTTTAGATGATGGTAAGGACGACACTGAGGGCGAGGAATTCAAGAAGGCCCGCGAGTTGCGTCGCCAGGAGGTTCGTCTTCAGCCCTTGCCCGCTAATCTGCCCACGGATACGGAGACTGAGGTGGGTGACATTTTCTTATCTTGTGACTTTGGTGATGGGGAGACTAACCTTCTCATTATTCTCATTTATTTTCCTTGACTCTCTTACGATATTCATTTAATCTCCTTCTCATGGTGTTGGTTTCATTTCTGTCCTTAAAAATTCACAAATATTCCAATAATTAGAAGCTTAAGGTAAACGTAGACAATAAAGAGAATGTGGCCGATGGTAGCTCTCTGAAATCGGCTAACTCCTTTGAGTCCGCTCGGAGTCAACCATCGACACCTCTTTCCACACCCACTCGTGTTGAGATGGAGCAACTGGAGCGAAACGCTCCTCGTAAGTTTAGTAGCGAGATAGAGGCAATCAGTGAGAAACTTTATCATATGAACAATATGGTTAAGATGAACAAGGATCTCGAGGTGCTGGCCAAGGAGAATCTGGTCAAGAGCGACATCCTACGCAAGCTAACCTTAAAGGAGAAGTGGCTAGCGGAGAATGCGGCCATAGCAGCTGGCCAAAAAGTTACTCCTGCTGCTCCAGCACTTCAACCGAAGTCCAAGTTCGATGAAAAGTTCGAGAAGTTAGTGAGTCCACCCCAACCGGTGGCCGAAGTGAAACCGAAGCCTGTCATAGATTTCAATCTGGACGAGCTAAAGCCACGCAAGCCCAACTTTGAGGAGCGTCCCAAGGAGCAGCTGCCAAAGCCTGAGTCTTTAAAGAAACTTCCCCACCCAAAACCAAAAGGGGGCAGCACCAACATAAGCCGTTCCAACAGCTTAAAGAGCAACGCGAGCAACGGTAGCCCAAAGGTGAAGAAGGCTCCCATTCCTAATAACAGCAAGATGCAGCTTGAAGGGATCCTTGGTACTTTAAAGAAGATCCAACGCCAGAACAGCAGTGATAAGGATGAGGATATGGACGTAGATGCGGATGTGGATGTGGAAAGACAACCCAATAAAGAGCTCAACACCAAGTTAAAGGAGATCCAAGCCAGCAGCTTTGCAGGCACCATGGATCACATAAAGTCACAGTTGACGATGCCAACGGTAAGTGCCCAGGCACCACCCTCAATGGACCTCTCGAAGTACTTTCCCAACCAGAAGCCAGAGAAGAGCTCTGCAAGCAGCACAAACAAGAACCAGGTCACCCTCAAAGATGTGAATCTTGCCAAGTACTTCCCCAGCAGTCCAGCTCCACAACGAAGAACCGTAGAAACGGTGGCAGATCGATTAAAGAAGTCCCAGACTGAGGCTTCATTAGCCAAGTCTAAGCTCCAAGAGGAGAAGACTAAGAACCAGGAGGAGAATGTTGGGCAGGCTAAAAAGAACCCAGGAAAGGTGGCAGATTCCAAACCAGTGCCACCTAAACGACAAGCTTCATTGGACACCTTCAGTTTGAGGGATCATCAGATGGATGGAGCTCTTGACCTGACCAAAAAGAAGGCTCCCGCAAAAGCTACATCGGCAGTCAAGAAGCCAGCAAAGTTAGGAAGTACCACAACCTTAACGAAAGCCACAGCCACGTCCAAGGGAAAGACCATTAAAATTGTCAAGAAAATCGTACCGAAAGGTACCAAAGCCAAAAAGGCGGCAGCTCTAGAAGCCGCCGCTGCAGTGGAGGTTGTTCCAGAAAAGGAGCCACCAAAGGATGAAGCTGAACGGATATTGGATGAAATCCTCGGAGATGGAGAAGTACGTTCACCGAGCTCCGAGTATCAGCGCTTGTTTCAAGATGAAAAGTCACCCAGCGATTTATCTGACAATATTGATCGCATACTCGAGGAGACCGGATTGGATCTGGAACTAGGGCTTCCTAAACGCAGTAGCAAGAAGCTAGTAAAAACCAAATCCCTAGGCGAGGGTGAGTTCGATTTGAAACCATCGAAAGAAAGACTGACTGGAGTACAGAACATCCTCAAGCGATTCGAGTCTATGAGTTCGGTAACCTCCCAGAATTCGCAGAATAGTGACGAACAAGCAGCCTTCAAATTGCGCCGCATGGAGTCAACCACCAGCAACTTGAGCAGCTTAACCCGCTCCAGGGAATCACTGGTCTCCGCCAGCGATTCAATGAGTGATTTAGAGAAGACCATGGATTACCTGCGTAACGAATGGCGCAACGAGGCCACCAACTTTCTGCAAAAGAAGCGTGACAAATTCTATGCCCAAAAGGAGGAAAAGCAAAAAGAGGCACAGATTAAAGCCAAACCTGATCCTATAAACGATCTCCCCGTGCAGTATCGCGATTCAAAGCTGGCCAAGTTCTTTGGCCTAAACGCTCGTAAGTCCCCCGAGAAACGAAAGTCTCCTATTAAAAAGAAAAAATCCCCCTCTAAAACGCCAAAGGTCAGCAAGGCAAACAATTCCCTGGAGGAACTGGTCAAGATCAGTAATGTTCGCCAGGCCAAACAGGCCCAAAAGAAGGCGCCAAAGTCCGTGGAGATAAAACTTTTAAAACCAGCCAGTCCTGTTCCAGATGATTTTGAGATTCTTGACCTGCTGGAAAAGGCAACGGAGGCTAAAGAGCTGGAGCGATCAAAGACGAAGAGTCCAGCGGTAGAACCCATTAAAGAAGTGCCCATAGAAGCTAAAATAGAAATTCCCCTACCAGTTGAAGATATTAAAAATCTACCCAAAACCGGGTGTGATAAGTCCACGAATAGCTCACGTCGTGGCTCCCAATCCAGTTTGGTAATGTCTCGGCGACAGTCGGAGATTTCCCTTAACGAGAAGCTCAACCAGGAGGCGCTTGTTGCCTTGGATAACTTGGAAAAGGAGAGGGAGGCAGAGCAAGTGGACGAACTGTTCCAAAGTATGGTGGAAGAAATGGAGCAGGAACCGCAGCCTACAACTATTGCAGAGCCACTAGAAGATGACTTTGATGCTGATTCGCTGTGTACCACGATCAGCAAGAGTCCCAGCGCCCAACCAGTCACAGTGGTAAAACGAGGCAGTTCTGAGGATCAGAGCATTGAGAAGCTTTTTGGCCACTTTTCCGACGAGATGCTGGTGAATGTGGAATTCGATTCGAACGACGAACTGGTGGGCATTACTCCAAGGGCCACACTCGTTTCAAGGAACACAGCGGATCGGGATTATCTGGATAAGCTTGAGTCTTTGGAACGTGATGAGGAGTCCTTCCAACCGTCTGCTGGGGAGAAATTCAAACAGAATAATGTTCAGGATGAAGTGGATGGCATGCACTTTCCATCACGCCCACAACGTAGACCCAAAAGTAGCTCTTCCTCTAGTGAACCATCACTTCCCGTGGCTCCACAAAGGCTGAAGAAAAAGCTTTCCAAACTAGATCCGGAGGATATGGCTCCTTCTGTACAGGATCTTCTACATCAGGTTTACATTAAAAATGTTCAACCTGACGCTGTGGAAGTAATTCCAGTTGAAAGCAGGCAAACTTTGAGATTCCCCAGCATGTTGGTAGAAGAAAATCTCGACGAAGTGGATCATCCTAAAGAGGTAATCAAAGAAAATGGTTCCGTTCCAGAGCAGGTCAAGGAGGAAACTATTACACAACCTGAAGAGATTCCACAGGCTATACCCATTATCCCCAAACCCCCAATAAGTCACAGTAATTCCCTCAAGAGCGAAAACTCTTCTGGAAGCAGCTTAGTGGAGATACCGAAGATAATTACCCCACCCAAGTCCAGTAGCAAGGAGAACTCTTCGGATTGGGACATGGAAAAGCTTCCCGCATCGCCCATGCCACGTCGAAGGCTGCTCCAAAACCAACCGCCCTCTAAAGCCCAAAGCGTGGCTAGTAAGGAGAGCTCTTTGGAGTGGGACATGGAGAAGCTACCCAACAGTCCCATGCTTCCAAGAAGAGCCGATGCGGCTCAAAAACGTCTTATCGAAGACTTTGAGCAGGAGAGACGTCAGGCTCTGATCAAGAGGGACGAGAGCTTCGAAGCCATCGCGGCGGAGCAACGTAGACGCGACTCCCTGCAGAGCAGCAGCAACTCGAGCAGCAAGCGGAGTTTGCCGCCACCCACACCGCCCATGAATGCTCACTCACGACGCGGCACCACTCAAGACACAAATCGCACCCAGGATACGACAACGCGGCGCGAGGGCACGCCTCCCATGTTCAAGAAGCTGGATGTCGATGGTAGCGCAGCCCCCTCCATAGAATCCACCGCCTGCTCCACGCGGCGCAGCTCGTTTGCATTTATAGAGTTACAGGACAACAAACCGGTGATTGTTCCCATGCCCAAGAAACTAAAGATACCCAAGCCGGAGCAGCCCAGGTTTGTACCCGAACCAGTTGCCATTGATGAGCCGGTGCCCGAGGTATTCCAAGGTCGTTCGTGGCCCAAGGCGCAGTTGGAAGGCGAGGTAGACCTTGAGGATTTGGATGAAGAGGAACAGGCAGAGAAGATAAGGAAACAGCTGCCTGAATACGCTCGCTCAGATTCCCCGCCATCGGCTGCTTTTAAGAACCGCAAGTGGCCAGATGGGAAAACCGTTTTCGATAAACGTGCCGAATCCCTTGAGGAGGAAGATATTTTTGAAGGATTATTGTCCCCAAACAAAAGAGGTTCTCGAAAATTCAAGGATAAGCCGCGATCTCAATCGCCACAGCCCTTTAAACCGCTAGCCAACAGCTCCCGACAAAGCTCAAAATCTTATAGCGACCTCAAAAAAGGACCCTCCATGCAATCTCTGTCGGCGCAATCCAGCCAGGACACGGACACTATCTCCACCACCACAACAGTGGCCACTGCTCGTCCTGTGAGCCACGTCAACTACGATGATCCCATGGACGCCAGTACCCAAGCCTTGCTGGATCGCAGCAAAAGGTTGCATAACCGCAAAAGAGATTTCGTTAACGAAAGAGTAGTGGAGCGTAATCCCTATATGAGGGAAGTACTGCGCAGTACAGATCGCAGGGACTACGACGATGTGGATGATGATCTGACCAGTTACAGGCCAAGGCATTATGCCAGCTCCACGCTAAACCGTTTTCCAAATACTTCAACCCGAAAGAGCAACACCTACGACTACCTCAGTCCCAGTAGTGATTACCTGACCAGGACCAGAACCTACAACATACCGAGCAGCAGTGCAACCAGCAGCTATTATCCATCGACCACGCGCAGCTCCCACCTGAGCGACTTGTTCCGACGACGGAGCCCCGCCAGCGGATCCGGAACTGGATCTGCACTTTCCGGCTATGGCAACAAAGAGTCGTGCGTTATCTCCTAGTTGTTAGCCCTGAAACCATTGACCAAAGCAGCCTTCTCTTTTTATATTTATATTTAACCCTGTTGTGGCCACAGACGACGCCTCAACTACTATCTCTACTGAGAGCCAACCCAACGTCAGCGAAACCAACCCAAGAAACAGACCCCCAACCCCTGACCCCTGGCCCCTCCATACAAAACAATATATAGGTCCCTGATCAGCAGCCCAAGAATACCTTAAACCAAAGAACCAACCAACCAACCATGCTAGACTGCCCGCCCGCCTGTCTGCTCTCGATGTGCCACGCCTTCAAGTTCAAGTCCAGTCCAAGTCCTCCAACCAGCCAAAGACAAGATCGGGCTAGCCTCTGATCGAGTTAGCCACTTGATTGAAAAGTAAATGCACCTGGGTACGATCTACGAAGGTAAATTCAAGCACAGCCGTCCCCGAAATGTTGCGCTAACCCTGAACTCAAGCAGCCCGAAATAAAGCCGAAAGTTTGTAGTCTCTAAACCTGTAAAGCCTAGAAAATACTGAAAACTGAAAACCAAATGTGTTGTGTCGTTCTGTTGCCGTCCAAAAAATAAATGGCCTAACCCCTAAGCCGATCTAGCTAATCCCGGCCAGCGTTCGTTCTGTACTCCAGCGTTCCTTTCGTTTCCCTTCTGGATCGTACCTAAAGGCATGACGCCGCTGTTGTTGCTGATTAACCCACTACTCCGACTAATTAGCATGTGCGAACCGAAGGTGTTTGCTGTACATAAAACGCCGCCAGCGGGTTTGGGCAGTAGAATCTGACCGATCTCTACTGATCCCGGCTCCCTTTGCTTTTGTTTTACGTTCGTTTCTTTGCCTGTCGTTCTGTCTTCACGTCCACTAATTCATTTGTATATCCACGACTCCATTTGCAGGTTCAAACCGAGTCCGAGAGCACTTCACCCGACGAAGTGGAGCTCAACTCTGCCACGGAGATATCCACCGACTCCGAGTTTGACAACGATGAGATTATACGCCAGGCGCCCAAAATCTTCATCGATGACACCCATCTAAGGAAGCCCACAAAGGTCCAGGTGAATGAGAGAGTTTACTTATAATATATAAACTTATTATAAATTATGGTCAATTTTACAGATTAAGTCCACCATGATCGGACCCAATGCAGCTGCTGCTGGACTTCACCAGAAACAGTTGGCTGCGCGGGAGAAGGGTGGCAGCTACCTCCAAAAGTACCAACCACAACCGCCACTGCCACAGTTCAAGCCACTGGTTCAGGTGGATCCCACTCTTTTTATTGGTAGCCAGCGCGCTCCTCTCCAAAATCCCCGGCCAGGAGATTACTTGCTTAACAAGACAGCCAGTACCGAGGGCATCGCGTCCAAGAAGAGCTTGGAGCTAAAGAAGCGCTACTTGTTGGGTGAACAGGCCAATGGCAACAAGATCCAGAAGTCGGGTTCGACCTCGGTACTGGACTCACGCATCCGCAGCTTCCAGTCAAACATCTCGGAGTGCCAGAAGCTGTTGAATCCCAGCAGTGATATCAGTGCCGGCATGCGCACCTTCCTCGATCGCACAAAGTTAGGTGAGGGCAGCCAGGCAGTTGGACAGACCAACGAGCTCATCCGCTCAGCCACCAGTAATGTGATAAACGATCTGCGCGTTGAGCTCAGGATACAGAAAGCTCCATCCAGTCACTCCACTGACAATGAGAAGGAGAATGTGTTTGTGAACTGCAAGAACGAACTTAACAAGGGAATGGAGTACACGGATGCGGTTAACGCCACGCTGCTGGACCAGCTGGCTAGAAAAAGTTCTCCAACCACGCCAACGAACAACAAAACGGTGATCGAGGTTATTGACCTAGTGACTCCGGAGAAGCCGGTGGCCATTATCGATCTCACAGCGCTGGACACGCCCAAGAAGCAGTCGGTGGATGGTGGCGCCATGGATGTTGATGATCGTCTTACACCTGATAGTAACAAGATAAGCGAGCTACAGCAGGAGATAAAAGAGGAACCAAAGCCGGATGTCTCTCGTGATGTAAAGGAATGCATTCCCGATATACTGGGACATATTAAGGAGGGAACAGGAACGAAGGAGCAGGGTGGCGAGGAGCAGCAGAGTCTGTTGGAGCATTCTGATGAGGAGAAGCGCGACTCTCCAGAGAAGGATGTGGCCGAGCATGAGCTTTATGAGCCGGATAGTGTGCAGATACAGGTTCCCAACATCCCATGGGACAAGGCAAAGCCGGAGGTCATGTCTACCACGGGCAGTAGTGGGTCCATCTGTTCAAGTTCAGAATCGTCCAGCATAGAAGATATTCAGCATTATATTCTTGAGTCTACTACTAGTCCCGATACCCAAACAACGGGTGGAAAGCGCAATGTACCACGTTTGGAAGTGCACGATACGAGTGGCGCCTTGATGCAGGTAGACAGCCTGATGATTGTGAACGGAAAGTATATCGGGGATCCCGAAGATGTCAAGTTCTTGGATATGCCCGCCAACGTTATTGTTCCATCTGCTCCAGCGTTGAAAACAAACGAGGTGGAAATGGAGGATGACCATGAGACAGAACCAGTGACAGCTACTCCAGAGCCTGCAGAGTGTACAGTCATCGAAGCAGATCGTCGCGTCACTGCACCGCCCCCACTACCCGAAATGGGACCACCCAAACTGAAGTTCGACAGCAAAAACGAGAATAAGATTGAGAGCCTTAAGAACCTTCCGTTGATCGTAGAGAGTAATGTGGAGCACAGTCAGGCGGTAAAGCCCATTACGCTTAATTTAAGCAGTTTGGCGAGGACCCCTGATACTCCAACTACGCCCACGGCGCACGATAGCGATAAGACGCCCACAGGGGAAGTGCTTTCTCGAGGATCTGACTCTGAAACCGAGCATACTGGCACCGGACAGGTGTTGACGGAAACAGAACTCTCCGACTGGACAGCAGATGACTGCATTTCAGAGAACTTTGTAGACATGGAGTTTGTGCTTAACTCGAATAAGGGAACGATAAAGCGGCGTAAAGATCGACGACGGGGAGGCACCAAGCTACCTAGTGGAAACGAGGTTATCCATGAGCTGGCCAGGCAGGCGCCAGTGGTGCAGATGGACGGAATCTTAAGTGCCATCGACATAGATGATATTGAGTTTATGGACACGGGCTCGGAGGGTTCCTGTGCAGAGGCTTATTCAGCAACGAATACGGCTCTTATTCAGAATAGGGGTTATATGGAGTACATTGAGGCAGAACCCAAGAAGACGACCCGCAAAGCGGTTCCTCCATCCAGTTATTCTGGAAACTTACCTCCGCTAGTGGCAAAGCGGGATGAGAAATTGGGCATAGATTACATTGAACAGGGAGCGTACATAATGCATGATGATGCGAAGACGCCAGTAAATGAGGTTGCTCCAGCCATGACCCAATCCTTGACCGATTCTAGCACCCTCAATGAACTAGATGATGATAGTATGGGTGGGTTGGGCTTATCCCAGACCCAGCAAACTACAACGGAGGAAAGTGAGGCGTTGACCGTGGTCACCAGTCCACTGGACACCTCCTCGCCACGTGTGCTCGACCAATTTGCCTCTATGTTGGCTGCGGGCAAAGGTGATTCAACACCAAGCAGCTCAGAGCAGCAACCAAAGACCTCAACGGTGACCAGCAGCAGCACTGGTCCCAATTCCTCGACACCAGGAAACGCCTCTAAGGAGGCAGCTCCTCAAGAGGAGGATCTACAGATCCAGTTCGAGTATGTCCGAGCACTGCAGCAGCGCATCTCCCAGATCAGCACTCAGCGACGCAAGAGCTCAAAGGGAGAGGCGCCCAACTTGCAAGTAAATGCCAATGCATCTGTGATAGAATCAGCCGAAGATCCGCCCAAGTCCGCGGAGGAGCCGGTGGCGATGCGACCGCGGAGCACCAGCATCTCCGGTAAGGTTTCTGAGATACCAACGCTCAGTAGCAAACTGGAGGAGATTACCAAAGAGCGCACTAAGCAGAAGGATCTCATTCACGATCTGGTTATGGATAAGCTGCAGTCGAAGAAGCAGTTGAATGCCGAGAAACGTCTGCATCGTAGTCGTCAGCGCAGTCTGCTGACCAGCGGCTATGCTAGTGGTGCCAGTCTTAGTCCGACACCCAAGCTGGCGGCTGCCTGCAGTCCACAGGATTCCAATTGCTCCAGTCAGGCGCACTACCATGCCTCCACGGCTGAGGAGCGACCAAAGCCGCCAACGGAGAGGCCTTTACAGAAGTCCGCCACTTCCACGTATGTGTCGCCCTATCGAACTGTCCAAGCGCCCACACGCAGTAGTGATCTCTACAAGCCGCGTCCCTTCAGCGAGCATATCGATACGAATGCTTTGGTAGGATATAAGTTGGGCAAGACGGCTTCATTTAATGGAGGAAAATTGGGCGACTTCGTAACTCCCATTGCTCCGTCGAGAGGTAATCGTGGAGGAGAAGCAGCTGTGGCTCAGGAAGTGGCCAACATTTCCGCTTCAACAGAGAACTTGAGAAGTGAAGCCAGGGCTAGGGCTCGCCTGAAATCCAACACAGAGCTGGGTCTAAGTCCCGAGGAGAAGATGCAGCTAATTCGCGCACGATTGCATTACGACCAAAACAGATCCCTCAAGCCAAAGCAGCTTGAGGATATGCCATCCGGCGACCTGGCAGCACGTGCCCGCAAAATGAGTGCCTCAAAGAGTGTTAACGATCTGGCCTACATAGTGGGCCAGCAGCAGCAACAGCAGCTGGAAAAGGATGCAGCGCTTCAGGCCAAGGCGGCCGACTTCACATCTGATCCTAATTTGGCGTCCGGTGGCCAGGAGAAGGCAGCCAAAACGAAGTCAGGACGCAGGCCCAAGGATCCGGAGCGGCGCAAGAGCCTCATACAGTCGTTGTCCAGCTTCTTCCAAAAGGGTTCTTCATCCGCGGCCACCAGTCCCAAGGAGCAGGGCGGTCCTGTGGCTGCCGGCCACTCTGAGCATTCAGAGCGACCCGGCACCAGCAGCAGCGGCACGCCCACAATCTCGGATACGGCAGGAGGAGGCGGAGGAGGTGGAGTCTTTAGCCGATTCCGCATCTCGCCCAAGTCCAAGGAGAAGTCGAAGGTCAGTTTTTGTTACAATAAATGTATATATAATGTGGTTTTGGTCGGTGTTGATGTAACCAAATGTTGTCTGCCTCATGGAGCTTGGCTAGTCCAAGCTATCGATTCACCCGACATCATTTAGCATTAAGTAACATTAGCTGAAAAGAGTTCGGTGTCTGGTAAAATAAGTGTTATAACATCTAAACTTCTTTTAATCATCTTACAGTCTTGCTTTGATCTGAGGAGTTTCGGTTTTGGTGTAAGGACTTTTAACTATTCTAAACCCTTTTTCAAATTTTCCTCACTCACAAAAGCTTAGTCTTATTATTTGGCATTCCATATATTATTTTAACTGGTTTCTAAACGCACATTTCTTCATCTGGATGGGCTTTCTGTCTGTTTGCTGTCCTAATAATCTAACCAAAATGCAACTATTATTTTTTAATTTGTTTTCATTTATTTTATTTTCATTTTCTTTTACCCAATTCCAGCAAAAGTTATTTAAGTCTTAAGTTTTAAGTTTGCCTGCTGTATTACTTTTTATTTTCCCCTATGCCTCCCTTAAATAACATTTATGTTAACTTAATATTATGTGTACCAGAAGGTATCTTTGTGCAAGGTTTCAAGGGAAGATTTACGGACCTATATTATGTGTTTTTAGTGTTAAGTTTTTATTGGTTAAGTAATGGACACATTATTGTTTATTGGGAATTGCTTTAAGACGTGTTATTTATGATTTAAGCTCAATGTTCTGGACTCTTTTGCATGATTGGTTTCCCTGGACTCCTGGTTTTGGTAATCTATAAGATCTATTTATTAAGTTTCTTACCTTTGGACTTATGCACGTTAAATGTATATACTATTTTTTTTAGTAAATAACATTTTGATTATAATCAGAAAGCTGAAAGCTGTTTTCTTTTCCGAAATTTCTTTCACCATCTTTTGATACCTCTCGAAAACACACATTTAACCCGATATATATTCTGATACCTTCAAACACAATGCCACACCAGGACAAGGATATGCTGGTCTGCAATGCTGCAGCAGGAGCCACATCACAGGCAAATCACTCGCAAGAGTATTTGAACACCACGAACAACAGTCGCTATCGAAAGCAAACGAACACTGCGAAACCGAAACCCGAATCGTTCTCATCATCTAGCCCGCAGCTCTACATACACAAGCCCCACCATCTGGCCGCAGCTCATCCAAAGGCCTTGGACGACCAGACACCACCGCCCATACCGCCTTTGCCACTGAATTATCAGAGATCCGATGGTTTGTTCTTCTCATTTTATGTCTGCATATTATCCCCTCCCAACTGTCCTGTCTCGACCCACTGATTCATCCAAGTGGAAGACTTTTGGCATGAGTTTATAATTCCTTTACCCTTTCAGATGAGAGCTACGCTAACGAGACACGGGAGCATAAGAAGCAACGTGCCATATCGAAGGCTTCACGACAAGCTGAGCTCAAGCGATTGCGAATCGCTCAAGAGATTCAGCGGGAACAGGAGGAGATTGAGGTGCAGTTAAAGGACCTGGAGGCACGCGGCGTACTCATTGAGAAGGCCCTGCGGGGCGAGGCGCAGAACATTGAAAAGTAAGTCTAAGGTCGTAATATTAATTTGGAGTCTCAGCTAACTAAAGTCTATATTGCAGCCTGGACGCGACTAAGGACAACGACGAGAAGTTACTTAAGGAACTTTTGGAGATTTGGCGAAACATCACAGCACTCAAGTAGGTCCATCTAAAGAGCTTTGCTTATGAAGAAACTTATGTGATTGACCTTGCTTTTAGGAAACGCGATGAGGAACTGACTATAAGGCAACAGGAACTGCAATTGGAGTATCGGCATGCCCAGCTCAAGGAAGAGCTCAATCTGCGCTTGTCCTGCAACAGTAAGTATTGGGATTCAGCTTTAAAGTTATATCAGCAACAAAAATATATTCAACAAAAATAATTATCTTTAGAACTGGACAAGAGCTCCGCCGATGTGGCCGCCGAGGGCGCAATACTCAATGAGATGTTGGAAATTGTCGCTAAGCGAGCAGCCCTGCGACCCACAGCCTCACAGCTCGACCTCACGGCAGCGGGGTCGGCATCGACCTCCGCAGAGGCAACGGGCATAAAGCTGACTGGACAACCGCATGACCACGAAGAATCGAATGTAACTAGGTTTTATAGAAATAAGGATCCATAGTTAATAGCTTCATTTTTCAGATTTGAATAGCAAACTTTTCCTGGAGTCTGCTGGTCTACGAAGTTTTGCACGGACTTTTGAGCCTAAATACTTAAGATGATACAGGGGAGAATGTACCAAAAAGGCAGCTGAATATACAAAATTAACAATACTAAATCCCATGAGCTGTAACCGAAACGAGCAACTAACTATTCAAAGTGATTAAGCTGGCAGAGAACAATTTCAATATATTTAAGTAGTGAGCCTAACTAATTTTTGAGAAGCGCGCAAGATTAATAATGTAAAAACTGGCAGAGTAGAAATCAAAACCAAAAACTAATTTCGCAATTTGAAAGTAAGGAGTACGATTATTATCGAGAATATCTTTAGTTTCGTATTCAACCTAATTGTATGTTTAGTTAGTCTTCGCCACTGAAATTTGTCTGATCTGTGTACGTCCTATGCAATATGTTGTGTTTTATTTAATGTAATTCGTTAATTTGATTGTGAAACTTGAACATGTGCAAAGGGTATGTGATTTTGAGTCTGTAAATCGTCTATTTGAGTTTTCTTAGGTTATATTTTCACTTAGCAATTGTTTGTCATTTCTGTGTATACCGTTTCAATGTATGTATTATTATTTATTTTTCAAAGTTCCCGCACATCCTCCCAAAACAGCAGACCCATGTATGTAATATGTTATTTGCTGCCCAACCAAAATCAAAGTGAACACAAAGAGATGCACACAAACATTTTCTATATGCGAGAGCCTACATACATATATTAATGTAAAGGAGCAGAGCAACCATTATCTGTATACTAATGAAATGATTTAAATTATTGTGTAATTTTATTTATAACCTGCATATATAAAAACATATTTATCGAATTTATTATGTAATTTTTCGATTTATTTTGAATTGAATAAAGATTTTATGAAACCTAAAGCCAAACCTGTTATTTCATAAATTATTTGACGTTTATTTTCTTTTTAACAAGTTTTAACGGTTTAGGAAAATGGCGGGATTTTTATATTTGAAATAGTTTGTATTATAAAGATGCCACTTTTTTGAACCAGGTGGTAACTCTGCGAGAAATTAGTGATTCGTGGTGAATGTCAAATAACAAACCGCGATTTCTTGTCGTATTCCTTAAGTGCAAATTAAAAGAAATTTAGGGTGAATTTAAAATACAATGGCTGACAAACAATCCACTGGTGAAGCAACCAAGTCCGTCCAAACATCAGCAGTTCCCAATTTGGCGGATAAACTGCAGAAAAAGTCCACACCAGGAACTCTTAGCACGGGTTCAGCTGATGGCGCGGAAAATTCGGAAAAGCCGGCTGCCCAGCCTACCGCCTACAGCATGCGACCAGCGTTTGGAGAGATGTTTCCCTTGCCCACCATCAAAAACATAATGAATAACGTGATGGCCGAGAAATTAAAGGGTAAAAGTTAAAATCCATAAACTCACTGCAAGTTGCTAAGCAACCTCTCTATTCCAAAGACAAAACCTACGACAAGGACGTTGCCAGGACGTGGACAAGTGAGATTGCCGATGAAGTGAACCAGCAGATAGCCAGCAGCTCTCGGGTGAAACGATACAAGCACGTAGTCCAGGTGATGCTCGGCCAGGAACTGGGTGCAGGTGCCACCTATAATTCCCGTTGTTGCTGGGACTGCGACTGCGACACTTCCGTATCCGAGGTCTTCAGTAACACCAGCCTGTTTTGCGTGTGCACCGTGTTCGGCACCTACCAGTACTAGAAGTGGATAACTCAGGGAACTGATTAGGCTAAGGAACACCTCACTATATTTATTTTCAAAGGGGTAAGCTTAATTTAACAAGGGCGACTCGGAGAATGTTGGTTTTCATAGTCAACTCCCGTGACATCCATGGGTATTTACATTTTAGTCTAACCATATCTAACTTTCTGTATTAGTAGGCACCGGGAAACAAAGGGTTCATCACTTTCGATACTTGACCTTCGTCGAGCTTCATTGGATGCGCACATTCAGCGGATTCAGTATACGGCCCGACATCACAGCCACGTCCAGGTCGCGATCCACGATGAAAAACATAAATGGATGATTCACGGAGATCTGAATGGGCTTCGTTTGAGCGCCATAGTTGCCTAGAGAGCGAAAGGAAGTGTTTATTGCACTTTGTCTCGTATTGCAGAGGCTGCAACTGTTGCAACACCATTAGGTGGGGCAATCGCATTGCGTTGCGGCTCAATGCCTCCGCTCCACTCCATTCAGGTGTGCTGCAATGCGAGACACTTACGCTTAAGCTGATTGATGGGATGCGTACGGATGGTGACGTCTATGGATTGCTCAATGTGCCGCACGTAGATGCCCTTCTCCTCTGTCATGGGCCTAAAGTCAGCGCGATTCGGCTCAAAGACATCACAACTGCAACGAAAGTAATAGTGAACATGGAACTACCGCGATCACGCCTATGCTTACATTCCCATCTGCAAAAAAAGCACAAAACCAAAGATACAGCTCAATAAAAATATTCAAATTTGCACTTCACGAATTGACACTTACATTTTGAAGATCGTTGGTCAAGAACATTGTTCCATGTAGCTTGAAGTCCGGAATGATGGCCTGAACCCAGCGCGGCTTTAGTTGCTTGCGCATCAGTCGAAGAGTTGGTCCCAGTTTTAATGAGGCGGCCGCTGCCACAATGTCCGTGTGGTAGTCAGGCAGCAGAATCATTAGGTTATATTCCGGTGTGTCCAGTTCCAACTCCAGTACGCTCATCTTCAAGTGATCGAAATACTTGTAGTACAGCACTGCATTGTACACCTTAAAGGTGGTATGCACCACCTGCTGATTGCCAAGGTAGAACACATGGCTGATCACATCCGTATTATAGTTGGACTTGCCCTCGGCCGCATCTCCTATGTAGTGCGGTTCAAAGTCATTGGTGATGGGCGCAAATGCAGCTGGTACTGGTGGTGGAATGTGCAGCGGATGATGGGGGACATGAGTGTGCGGATTGAAGAGCGTTAGGAAGAGATTAGCATCCAGATCCTTGTAGCCAGGTAGCGCATGTCGCCTGTACCGCGCCATTTTCGTCTTCCGTGTCAGGGAGATGTTCGTTGCCTGTGGGGCTATGATGGAAATTACCTGCCGTGTTGGTGATGGCTTCCGCTCCACCACTTGGCGAGCCATCATCGGCATGGAGGCTGTCCTGGCACTGGGCAGATAAATGGGCTTCGGCGTAATTGGGTTCGAGTGTTTAAGAGGTGCCTGCAGTTTGCTGGTGGGTAGCCGGGAAACCCGGGCCTTCTGGATGCGCAGTAGCGGCTCGGAATCTTCCTCGGCAACAAAGGCAGACACCAACTCAGCTGCTTCATCTTCAGCTGCGGGCTCGGCAGCCTCTTCACCAGATGTGGCAGCAGGTGCTTCAGTTGTGGCTTCCGCCTCTGCAGGCGCTTCTGTTGTTGTGGCTGGAGGCTCTGTCGTTGTGGTTGCCGGAGTCTCTGTGGTCGTTGTAGCTGGTTCTTCTGTTGTAGCTTCCGCATCCTTTAAAGTGGTAGTCTCTGCTTCCATTTCACCGGTCGTGGTATTGCTGGCCATTGTGGTGTTGACCAGCTCAGCATCTGACGTAAGATTGGCTGGCGTTGAGGATATCATGTCCACACCTAAATCGTAACCATAAAACATGAGCACTGTCTCAAAGTCTTTTAGAATTGTGACGTTGCCCTTGTTCAAGCTGAGTCCCTTTAGGGGGTTATCGGAGCCGAAGAAATAGGTCTGAAAATATTATCAGTAGATTAAAATCACTTTAAAAAGTCCCATTCATCCCTCTTAAATCCACAACCATATACTCTTTACTATTATCAAGAATTTTATATCGAAATCCTTCAAATGTAGTCGAAAATTAGGGTAACCCTTCTATGTCACTATTGATCTACTTTACTGGACAGAACGTGATCAGTAGTAGGTACGCAATTATTGCCAATTAAAAAATCTATTCACTTGAACAATCGTTGGCCACTTTTGGGAGATTAACCGACTCAATGGGGTCGACGAACTATTGAAACCAGATTGGAGATCAATTGATCAATAGTCATGGGCCTGGGGCAATTTGTTTGGCAGTACGCATATTTGATTCTGATTCTGATCTTTATCAATGACCACTTGGCATTCTGCCACTCCGCCCACCTCATTTGTCGATGGGTGCTTAGCCAGGCGTGTAAATTTGTGTTGGCATTTAATTTGGAGAGGGGTTCTCGAGTGGGTAACCTCCCGATGGCAGTGGGTTAAGTTCAAAGCAACCACATTGGCCTACATATGGATTTAGCCCAGTCTCACCCGTAGTCTGCGATGGATGTCACGGTAACCCACACGGGTCACATCCCGATTGTTGGGCAGCTGCAGAACATGGCGGAGTTCCTCGGCACTATTTCCAGCCGATCCCTCAAATAAAGCCACCAGGACACTGACCAGTGCCGTGGGCGAGAAGGCAAAGTTGTTGCGATTGAGAATGGAGTGGTAGTGGAGGAGGCGGTGAGTCAAGTCATTGGTCAGATCAACCATGACCTCGGCAGGAGTTAGTTCCTTGGCGGCCAGCACTTGAGGAAGGTGATCCAGTGGCGTCAATGGAGGTGGTGGGAAATGCGGATGTGGAAAGCCACTGGCTCGAAACTCTTCGTGGTCTATCTGTATGTAGTGAGCCTCAGCCTGGAGGAGATTAAACACCATCCAGATGATCAGTACCAGCAATCCAGCCATGATATTGCAGCCAACCTCGCACTGAACTGATTAATGGCGCACTTAGCACTCTGATTGTCGCGTTTGCGGCTTTTTAGCAAAAAAATTGGCAAGCTCTATCCGCTATACCAAATTGCAGTCCGTTCATTATTTTCCACTTTTTTTGCCGATCCCGATTCAATTAGCCCAACTGATTCTCTGCACTCAAGGTGATGACTATTCTGAAATTTGTCAACCGTCAAGCGACAAGCGTTTTCCACATAGTTTCAGATGCAGTGGGTCGGATAGTACTGACTATGGGGCTCGTTTCGCTTCTGGTTCGAACTGATTCGCGTGATTGCTGCTGCCAAACTGAAGTTGGGTCTGGTTGGGCTGTATGCTAAAATACGGCAGCCGATCGATTCGACTTTGAATCGGATCGGCTAATCGAGCTCTGCTTCGTGAATGTCGGTGTTACGTCGTTATTGTTTGTCATACAGAAGTTGAAAGAGTGTTTCAAAAAAAGGTTTTTCGGTTTTTAGTCCATAAAATAGTTAAAACAAGACAAGCAGCTAAAATAAAGACAGTGTTGTGCAGCTAACAAACCCAACTTGTATCCTGTTTAACTTGCCGGCTGAATTTGTGAAATAAACTTTTGACCAATTTTTGGGTTTTTTATAAGGTGTACCATCATCTTTTTTTTAAAAAATGGCCAAAAATTAAATTTTCCATTATTGTATGCACATCGATTTAAAGTTGAAATGGATTAAATTTCGAGCTTAGGGTATAATTTATTTTTTACAAATTCGCTATATATTTTTTCGGTTTCAAAAACAAAGCGCACATCTAAAGTAAAGACAGTTTTGTGCAGCTAACGAACCCAACTAACGACCTATTTGACTGTCCGCCTGAAATTGGAAAAACAATTTTTGGCCTATTTTTGCATTTTTTGTAAGGGGTACCATCGTCTTTTTTTCCAAAAATGGCCAAAAATTAAATTTTCGATTTTTGGATGCACATCGATTAAAAGTTAAAATATATTGAATTTGGAACTCAGGAAGGTATAACATTCCATATTTGGACCATTTTAAGGCTTACTAAGAGGAAAATACTGTTTTTTTTTAACTAGAAAAATCAGAATAAAGTCTTTTACAATATTCGTTATATTTTTTTAGGTTTTTAGCCCATAAAATTGTCAAAACAAGTCATACAGCTAAAATAAAGACAGTTTTGTGCAGCTAACGAACCCAACTAACGACCTATTTGACTGTCCGCCTGAAATTGGAAAAACAAATTTTGACCAAATTTTGCATTTTTTGTAAGGGGTACCATCGCCTTTTTTTCCAAAAATGGCCAAAAATTAAATTTTCTATTTTTGGATGCACATCGAATAAAAGTTAAAATAGATTGAATTTGGAGCTCAGGGAGGTATAACATTCCATATTTGGACCATTTTAAGGCTTACTAGGAGGAAAATACGGATTTTTTAAACAAGAAAAATCAAAATAAAATTTTTTTACAATATTCGTTATATTTTTTTGGGTTTTTAGCCCATAAATTAGTCAAAACAAGTCATACAGCTAAAATAAAGACAGTTTTGTGCAGCTAACGAACCCAACTAACGACCTATTTGACTGTCCGCCTGAAATTGGAAAAACAATTTTTGGCCTATTTTTGCATTTTTTGTAAGGGGTACCATCGTCTTTTTTTCCAAAAATGGCCAAAAATTAAATTTTCGATTTTTGGATGCACATCGATTAAAAGTTAAAATATATTGAATTTGGAACTCAGGAAGGTATAACATTCCATATTTGGACCATTTTAAGGCTTACTAAGAGGAAAATACTGTTTTTTTTTAACTAGAAAAATCAGAATAAAGTCTTTTACAATATTCGTTATATTTTTTTAGGTTTTTAGCCCATAAAATTGTCAAAACAAGTCATACAGCTAAAATAAAGACAGTTTTGTGCAGCTAACGAACCCAACTAACGACCTATTTGACTGTCCGCCTGAAATTGGAAAAACAAATTTTGACCAAATTTTGCATTTTTTGTAAGGGGTACCATCGCCTTTTTTTCCAAAAATGGCCAAAAATTAAATTTTCTATTTTTGGATGCACATCGAATAAAAGTTAAAATAGATTGAATTTGGAGCTCAGGGAGGTATAACATTCCATATTTGGACCATTTTAAGGCTTACTAGGAGGAAAATACGGATTTTTTAAACAAGAAAAATCAAAATAAAATTTTTTTACAATATTCGTTATATTTTTTTGGGTTTTTAGCCCATAAATTAGTCAAAACAAGTCATACAGCTAAAATAAAGACAGTTTTGTGCAGCTAACGAACCCAACTAACGACCTATTTGACTGTCCGCCTGAAATTGGAAAAACAATTTTTGGCTTATTTTGGCATTTTTTGTAAGGGGTACCATCGTCTTTTTTTCCAAAAATAGCCAAAAATTAAATTTTCGATTTTTGGATGCACATCGAATAAAAGTTAAAATAGATTGAATTTGGAGCTTAGGGAGGTATAACATTCCATATTTGGACCATTTTAAGGCTTATTAGGAGGAAAATACGGATTTTTTTAAACTAGAAAATTCAGAATAAAGTCTTTTACAATATTCGTTATATTTTTTTGGGTTTTTAGCCCATAAAATTGTCAAAACAAGTCATACAGCTAAAATAAAGACAGTTTTGTGCAGCTAACGAACCCAACTAACGACCTATTTGACTGTCCGCCTGAAATTGGAAAAACAAATTTTGACCAAATTTTGCATTTTTTGTAAGGGGTACCATCGCCTTTTTTTCCAAAAATGGCCAAAAATTAAATTTTCTATTTTTGGATGCACATCGAATAAAAGTTAAAATAGATTGAATTTGGAGCTCAGGGAGGTATAACATTCCATATTTGGACCATTTTAAGGCTTACTAGGAGGAAAATACGGATTTTTTAAACAAGAAAAATCAAAATAAAATTTTTTTACAATATTCGTTATATTTTTTTGGGTTTTTAGCCCATAAATTAGTCAAAACAAGTCATACAGCTAAAATAAAGACAGTTTTGTGCAGCTAACGAACCCAACTAACGACCCATTTGACTGTCCGCCTGAAATTGGAAAAACAATTTTAGACCTATTTTTGCATTTTTTGTAAGGGGTACCATCGTCCTTTTTTCCAAAAATGGCCAAAAATTAAATTTTCGATTTTTGGATGCACATCGAATAAAAGTTAAAGTATATTAAATTTCGAGCTCAGGGAGGTAATACATTCCATATTTGGACTATTTTAAGGCTTACTAGGGAAATACTGAGGGTACTTTCATTTGATTGTTAGCGTTGATATAAAACTAAGTTTTTTCCTAACATTCAGCTAAACATTCGATTCTTTGTTTTTAGGTGTTTTGTTTAAATAAAGTAGGGTTTACCAATATCGATCAGGATAGGCATGAATGAATTGAATTTCATGCAACAAGTGATTGTATCTCTGATAATTAAAATGACAGGTCCTTGAACATATACTGGATGAGTATATTGATTTTTATTCAGTCGCTTCGCAGCGAGGTAAAGGAGGAGGTCATGCTGTCTCTTAAAAAACTTATACAACTTTTTCTGGGATCGTTTTGTGCTCTAAATGGTATTCTGGATTTTTATGTGGACATTGGATCAGAAAGAGTGCGATGGGCTTATAGCCTAGCCATCTATCGTATAGTGCACAACTTTGTGGTCTTCTGCCTAACAACAAAATTCCTACTAGATTTCTGGGAAGATCATGAGGCAGATATAGAAAAATCATTGCTGATGACCTTTAAACTATCTTACGTATTTTTTATTGGTGTTTATCGCGATAGTCAGTAGCATGTTTTGCTGCTACCGTTGCAAAAATAGAATCTTCATGGTTATCCAGAAGTTGAAACATCAAAAAAAGCTAAGCAGGCAAATGGGATATGAAGTACCGAAGGGCAATCAGCTATTTGTGGATTCCTTGATGTTTCTACTGACCTTTCTTTTGTTACTTCGCATCACCATTCATGTTACAACGTTTGTATTTAGCGGTAAACTGGGGTTAAATCACCCCTGCAACTGCTTCTTCCCAGAGTGCATGATATTTGCAATGAATTATATAATTTTTGCCATCCTGGTAGAGATAAGCCAATGCTGGTGGCGATTGGAGTCCTCCCTCAAGATGATAATGCGAAATCCAAAACGGACATCTATTAACAACCAATTGTACCAGATACAAAGGATTCACAGAATGTTACAGGGCCTCATCGATTTAACTACAGAAGTGTGTTCCATATTCAAGTTTGCACTTCTCAGCTACATGATTCGCCTTCTTTGGAGTGGAATTGTGGCAGGATACCTTGTGGTGCGCTTTATTCTTGGTAATGGACATTCAGACATTGAGTTTACATATTTGGTGTTAGCCTTCATCATCTGCATCCAACCTCTTATGCTCTCGCTTGTTGTGAGTAACATCGCCCACACAGCTGGTTTTCTAATCGAATCAGTCAAGGACATTTTGAGAACGCCGCACAAGCAAGGGGCTCAGGTGGAGCGAAGTGTAAGTATTTAATAAACTACTTTGAAATAAAAAGTCTTTAAGTTCGGAGTTTCTTACAGATCGAATGGTTTATGCTGCAATTAGCTTGGCAGCACACTTACATCTCTATTTTTGGCACATTTCGAATTAATCGGTCGTTGGCTTTCCAGTGTACATCGGTCATCCTGTTGCAAGTGGTCTATATGGTGCAAAGTGACTACATTTTAATGACTAAAAAAATTTAATAAGCCACAATATATCTTCAAGTTTTTCGAATAAAAAACAACCCATTTAAACCTTTCCATAAAAAACGCTTTTAGTTAGTTTTGAAAGTATCATTTTGCTCTTGTCTTTTCTGTTTTTATTTTATTATAGAATTTTTATTTTGTTTAGCTTATTTCGTACAATTAGTTGTTTACGATTTTATTCATTCTGATTTCGATTTATTGTTTAAAATCAACATTCATAAACACGTCCATTTAAATGATTTTAGAGTTTCTTTTGCATTCTTTGTTTCTTGTATATTTTCATTCGCTTAAAATAGTTTCTTGAAAATGATTTTGCTTTGTGGGATTTCATATAGCGTGTGAATGGTGTTAGACTTAATGCTTCAGTGTGATGAGGGTGAGTGAATGATGGATCCTTAGGTTTACGTACATATGCAGAGAGGTGTTCCGTGGACAGACACCTAGTACAAAATGTGCACATCCTATCGGACACACTGCTCCTAATGTTTAAAATGGTATATGGTGTGTCGATCTGAAGTCGGAGTTAACATGAAGCATAAAAAGCCAACCGAGCAACAAGTACTAAAGTATCCCTATATCCCTAGCTGCTGTGATTTGTAGCTTCGATCTGTACATTGAGTGTAAATATACAAATATGCCATTCTTTTTTGTTTGCCTGTATACTCGTATATAAAGACGCAAAATATATCTATTTATGATCTGTAGTTTTGTGTGTGAGTTATGTGTCTTTCTCTCGCCTTTCACTTTCTCCTTTCTCTATTTTTGTATGTCTAAAAATGTTCTCCGTTTAGTTTCGGTTGCATTTGCTGCACAATTTGCTTTGCAAAAAATATAGTCACACACCACACGCACACAGGCCCGCAGCAGGATGTGCAGGATGTGTGTGTGTGCATGGGTGTGTGAGCGCTCTCTATCTTTTTCAGTTTTGTAGGTACTCGATTCTCACCAATGTTTAATTGAAGTGTTAAACATCTCTGCTGCTCTGTATTACGGATATTCGTTATGTATTTATGTTTACTTTATGTTTGGGTTAGGGTTAACCAGTGGTTTTCGTTTTTCGGGGGAAAAGATTTTGTTGGGTCCTCGAGTTTTAGCTGCTATTACATTAGTTTCGGTGTGGACTTAAGCTTTTCAAATTGAGACAACTGTACGTATGATTAATGCACATCTATGTATCTAGGGTATATGAACAATCATTTGCCGTCAGAAGGGAGTTCTTGCTCTTTCGTTAGCTATTCATAATTTCGGTTAGATATATGTATGCATATGGTTTATATTTATATATTATCTGTATTTAAATATATACTGTATACATGTATAATTTATATGCTTATATAGCACCTGCTGCTGCTGCTGATGCCGCACAGTGGCTGTTTTTGTTTTTGTTTTTGTTTTTTCTTGGTTTTAACATGGAATATACACGACACTTAGTTGCTGGTTATTTACTTGGTTTCATATGGTTTTCGTTTGGAAATGCAAAACTCCGTATTACGCTAGCTCGTAATTATAGTATTATCTGTATCTTTTTCTGTATCTGTGTCGTCTGTGTGCTTCTCTGCTCATCTTTCACCTGCTCCAGGCCTAATTTCGCCTCTGGCTAATGGGCGTGGCTGGGTAATGGCACGAATGCTGCCCTCACCCCGCCAAATTGCGCCTCTTTTGTACCTTGTTATGTGGTGATCAGTGGCAGCGATCCTGTTGATCGCCGCCTGCCATTAATGTAATGCTCTAGCCTAACTTCGCCGACAACCAGTTCAACTAGTTGGCTAGTCCAAGCAGAACCGAGATAAGTACACAGTTGGGGGTAATAGAATATTTTGTAACAGCAAACAAGTCAACAAGGTTAAACAAAAACAAGGATGAATCGATCTGATTTTTGGGTACGTTACTTCTATATAGATGTAGACACAACAACAAGTATATATTATATCATAGATTCATCTCGTTATTCATCGCTTACGTACTACACATAAAAACACGAAAAGTTCAAGGTGATTGATGAGGAGTGGCTTTTGTGTGTGCTGGGGGATGCCCCTAATGCTAGACATACAAATACAAATACAAATGTGGTGGGTAAGAGGGGGTAGTGGGAGCGTCTAAATTTAATCAAGTCGAGTCAAGTCATTCAAAGTATCTCTCATATCGCCCTAGATCCTAATAAAGTTCTCAGTTAGCCCAAACCTAAACCGATTATTGTTAATGTTACATATTAATTGTTAATTGTTAAGTTATTAAATTTTAATTTTTAGGATTAACTTTGACGCCCACTTCTTTCCGTTTCTCGTTTTCCTTTTTCTGTTTTTTTTTTTTTAAATGGGCACCATTGAGTTAACCCATAACAAAAAGTCTTTTTGAAATTAAGGATGCATTTAGCCAATTTTGAAGACATCTAGTGGTTTCAGTTGCCAGCCAATCAATGCAAAATAATTGAATACGATTTCGGCCGAAGTTCTCATCATCATTAACGCTCGCGTCCTTTCAGTTTTCAGTTATCAAAACAATTGTCTTTTGCCAATTATCATAAATTTAAATTGTAAAAAAGTTACAACAACTCTTGGGTAGAAAAACTTATTTAAAACCTATTATTGAAATTATGCTTTCGCTTAACTTAAGCTCTGCCATCTCACTGGTGGCTGAGGCCTATGTTAGATGATTTCACGTCTGATAGTCGTGATATTCACTATACATAATCTCGCTTCGTATTTTTGTTTTTTTTTTTTGTTTTTGGTTTTGGTTTGAAGTATCAGTCAGTTCACAAGAATGCTCTAATGTGTGCATGATGCATGATTACAAAGGGTATTTGATTGTATAAACAGCTTATTGCTTTCCTCGAATTTAAGTGTATGTTTTATTTTTTTGAAGCAGAATGTAATGATTCGAATGCGGTTGTGTGTTTGTTTTTCGTTGCTGGCAGTGTAGAGCACTTGTTTCGATTTTCGTCCAACAACTTTTTACATCAACGCCGGGGGGTATGCTATGAAAATGGCAGCCCCCAGGATATAGCTCCTGCTTAACCCGCTTCTGTTCTGTTCGATTCTCATCGATGAAAAAATGGCTTGATGCGACTGTGATGTAGAATCAATGGGTTTTTGGTGAAAACGCAGCCAAATAAACGATGCGCAAGTCTTTTGCTGGATACTCACTAAACTAACCGACTTAATGCACTTAATCTTAAATGGAATTCAATGTCTAGCACCGTTAGCTGCCTGGCTGATATGCGTGAGTGTGCGTGTGTGCCGTGTATGCATGTGTGTGTGTGTGCTCTTGGTGTGTATATATCAAAATGAACAAGTCAAATAAATCAGCCTTATATTGAATGCAATTTTGTTTTAAAACTAATTTCGCTTTCCAATTATCCAAAAAATGAACACCAACACACACACAAAGACGCCCAGGCCGCAGCCACGGTCGCAGAGCTCCGATTTTAGCCGGGAATCACATAGAATATCAGCATAAATCCCAAAAAATCAGCTCTCAGACACTTTTGCCCCTAGCTACACACCTAAATGTACTGTATATGTATATAATGTATCAAGTATTAATTACTTAGTTATCGTTTAGTGGATGCAACATACCGCGCTGAACCAGCAATCGCTGCGCCGGACGCAAGTCCGGCTGCCAGCTGCCGTGAGATATCTAATTTTAAACCGAACTCGTTCCTCCTTAAGGGACTACACCGAATCCATCTTAATCTTAGAGTTAATGTTATGTTTACACATCAATAACGACGATAAATATCAGAAGAAATATCATAAGTGTTTCCATCTACATGCAATATTCTGCTTACACGTACACGGGGGGCAAATATGCCCGATAATATTATATGTATAGCTAGTTTTCTTCGCTTTAGAGATAAACACATCGTTCTGTTCTGCTGCTGTGTCAAGTGTTAGCACTTCTTTGTCTGTACATCTGTCTTAGGATCGACTTAGATCAGCGGAAAGTAAACTGAACTGAAAATGAACTAGCACGTTCTAATTCTATCAATAGATGCAGTAGAAAGTTGTACAATATGTTTCGATACGATACGATACGATCTGTTCTACGTCTGAGACCCTGGGAGAAACCGTGTCTGTTCGAGAAATGCACTCATCGTCTTCTTATAGAGGGGGGGAAACAGGATGAAGTCTCCGTGAATCCGGAAACCGTTCTATCCGAAACAAGGAATAATTGAAAATGGAAAACCAAAGTTGCAACTGAAAAGTGAAATCATAATAAAAACAAAGTGGTTGGTTTTTGTTTTGTTTAATTATAAATAACAATTGTATATTTTTTAATAAAATGGGTGTTCTTGTTGTTGTTGTGTTGTATTCTTTTCAAGAAAAAAATTAAAAAGAAATATTATTTCTCGCTATTGAATGAATCTAGCATTCATGTTCGATGGATTAGAGCTTTTTGACCTTTACTGATATATATATTTCTCATATATATATTTTCCTTCATTAATCTTTATCCCTTCTTCATTAAGCATTAGTTGGTTGCTTCGTCTGTGTTTTGTCAACTCTCTGATGTTTCATTTTCAGGCCAAGTTAGTTCGCAGATCGGAAATTTGAGGATATCCTGATCGAGCGACTTAGCTTGCCTTGCATTTCTTGCTCTTTTCGTGATTATGGTAATCGTACACATAAAATAGTAAGAAATATTAGCGATAATTCTATAATAATGGATAGTTTTCTTTCTTTCTTTCTTGATTTTTTTTGTTTGTTTAAAAATATCACTTAAGTTTAAATAATTTCCAGAACGCAACGAAATAGATCGAGTGTACGTACTTAACTACGCTTTTGTGTGTGTGTGTGGGTGTAGGTGTGTTTGTGTGTGGTGCACGAAAATTAGCAAGAAAAACAATAATAATGATGACAATAATCATACTCGTAATCATAATCGTAATAAAGAATAGACGCCCCGACGGGCGACAGACAAAAAATAAGTAAAATGTATTGCATTTTCTCCTTTTTTCAGTTGCATTTTACTCCGTTTGTTTACAAATCGTTCTTAGTGTTTGCTTTTGTTGTTGGTTTAATTAAACTTATAGTTAATAAAAACGAAATACAAGTGTAAAAAATGTTGTTAAACTTTTTCGCATTACACAAAAAATGGCCACCATTATGAATTTCATTCAAATCACGGCAAACAATTTCAATGAAATTTTCGTTTGCGTGTTTTACTCCTTACGGTTTTTTGTTTGCTTATTTTCCTTTTCTTTTTGCATACTTCCTCTTATCCCTCATCTAATCATTTTCCCCGCTTTTCCGTAACTTTTCCCCATTTTCATTTTCAAAAACTTTTTAAAGCTGCTGCCGCTTAAGCTCAATTTTTCTCCATTTTTCCCAGTTTTCTCTATCCAATTAATTGTTTTCCGATCGCGTTTCGGTTTTAACTTGGATTTTCTATCCCATTGCACTTCTCTCCCTCGTCCTTTCGTCCTTTCGTTTGTTTAAGTGTGTGTTTAGGGGGTTCTATATTTACATATTCTAGACTTTAGTTTGTACTTCCAATTTGGTTAAGAATTCCTTGTGTATTTTTATTTCTTCTTCCGTAAATTCTCCTGCTCTTCAATCTCAATCTCTGGCTATCCTTCGATAGACTTTATTTCTATTTTCTATCTTCTTCTTATATATCCTCGCAAACCTCGCTAGGTCCTTTGTGACGTCATTGTTTTGTATATGTATACCGTAATTTGAACAATTCACAACAGTTGCACAACGCAAAAAGTTCATGGTTTTTGTTTGTTTTTCTTTTTTGTTGTTTTAAATCTTAGTTTTTAGTCATAAGTTTTATTAAAAATTAATCAATAGACGAATTTAGCTCATGTTTCGTTTTTTGTGTGTTTGTTTTTAGAAAATATCAACTTAACAATGTATTAAAAATTTGAACATGTTTGAAAGTGTTTTTCCTTCTGGCTCCAATAGAAATTTTGACGGTTCCCTTTTTCTCGTTAAGGATTTAAGATCTACCTCACAATCCATCTGTCTGTTTGTCTGTCGTCGGCCTGTCTGTCTGTTTGTTTGTTTGTTTGTTTGTTTGCTTGCTTGGTTTGTTTGTTTTTAAAATTCACTACGTTTAAGTTTAAGTTGCTCGTATGTCTATATGTTACATTAGCGTTGTTGTTGTTGTTTTTGTTTTTGGGTTCGGGTTCGGGGTAATTGTTCTATAGATGTTTGAGAGTTTTGGGTGTTTGGGAATCTTGGTGGTGGGTGGCTGGGTGGTTGGGTGGTTGGGTGTTTGGTGGCTGGGTGCTTAATTAACTAGATTATTTAGCTGTGTGTCCATCTATTGCCGCTCGTATGCGTGAAGTCGATTAATACTTAACTCTTAGCGCTTAACACACATTTACAAATTGTTTAAACGGTTCTTGGATTTGAATTACACATGATTATGCAAGTAATTTAACTATTTTTTGTTTATGTTTCATTTTGTTTCGTTTATGCCTATTTTAATGTGTAGATGCAACGCCTTGAATATTTAATATGCATATCTTAAGGTTTTTTGTTTTGAATATTCTGCTTTATAGTTTCATTTTGATTTGTTTGTTTTGAGTTGGTTTGCTTCGTTTTCTTACATTTCATTTCATTTCATTTTCGTTTTTTGTTTTCTTTGTTTAGAGCGAGAAGTAGAACAGAAATTGCACTTAATACTAGAAAAAAATTTACTAGAGTTCTTAAAACTAAAAAAAATCAAATGTATATTTGCTTTAAATATTGTTTGTTTTCATTTGTTTGTTTGTTGTTGTTTGTTTGTTTATGTTTGAATTGTTTTTTTTTTACTGTTTTTTACTTTTGCTTTTTTTTGTTATGTTTTATGTAAAACAGCTGGCATACGTATTTTATCTGTTTTGCTTTTTTCGTTTTGTGTGTATATAAAAATCGGCCAACTGCTGTTTTGCTGCTTTTTTAACATAAGAATTAACAAAGTCATTTTAGAAATAAATATGTATATGTATATTTACGCACTGTAATAATAGTAATAATAAGAATAATAATAATAATAATAATAATAATTAGATTATTGTAGATTGCAAATGTTGCCCGGGCGCAAATGTCAGCAACATTTGCACGGCAGTTGGCAAACACCTGCACAACAACAAAAGAGATACCGTTACGTGTTTAAGGTGCACATTCAATGCAGAGTAAATAAGAAGAGACCATTTTTCATTTGCATTTTTGCGTTTTGCGTTTCGCGTCGTCGGGTGGCAACAACAGCTGACAACAGAGAGGTCAGAGGTCAGAGGTCAGCGGTCAAGGAGCGGTGGTTCGTCTGGGCTTAACCCTGCATCAGGACGGCCTGCGCCTGCTGCTGACTGGCGGCTGCTCGGCTCCAGGCCAGCAAACCGTTCGCAGCAGCCACCTGCGCCTCCTCCTGATCCTCCTCGAACGTCTCCAGATCCTGATCCTCTGCAACATCTTGATCCTCCTCCTCCTGCTCCATCTCCATTTCCATTTCCTCCTCAGCTTCCTCCATTTGGGTGGGCGTGGTCGTCGTTGTGGCCGTACAGGCAATGGGCGCCACAATTACCGAGGTGGCCACACTGCGTATACGTACCGGCCGATTGCTGATTGTGTTGCTGTTGGCCGTCACTGCGTAGGGATGTGGTTGCTGCTGCTGCTGCTGCACTTGCCCACCGTACCGCTTGTTAGTTTTGATGGTGAGCGAAGAGGGCAGTTGCTTGCCGGCAGCCACTTCGGCCGCCAATCGAACCACCGTGGTGGTCATCTTGGTGGCCGGTGCTGCTGCCGGATTGGGAGTTGTTGCTGGATTGGATGTTGCTGCTGATGTTGCTGCCTTAGACTGGTGCGCCGACGCCTGGTTTGCCGCCTCCGTCGACGACTTCTGTCGCTTTCAGTCGCCGAAGCGACTGCACGCCTTCTTCCACCTGCACTGGGTGCACCACTGGTCGCGCTTCTCCATGCCATAAACCTTGCGGCACTTCTTGTTCTCACCGCGCGTCCTCTTGCCGGGCGAATGGGGCGTATGCTTGATGACCACCTGCTGCGCCATGTGTTGTTGCTGCAGCTGATTGCTACCATTGCTGTGGTTGTTATTATTGTTGCTGTTGTTGTGGGCAACTATGTTGCCGGCAGTTGTCTGTTGATGTTGCTGTTGGTGTCCGCGCATCGGCTGGTGGTGTGGCTGCTGTGTCTGCTGCGTCGGATGGTAATTTGCCGTGATCGTCACACTGGACAGGAGATGTTGCTGCTGCTGTTGCTGCTGCTGGTGGTGGCTGTGGTGCTGCTGTTGCAACTGCTGTTGTTGCTGCTGCTGTTGCTGGCTGTGGTGTGCCGTCACCGTGACATTCTGTTGCGACAACTGTTGCAGCATATTGTTGGCACTGCTATTGCTGTGAATCACCGGACTGCTGCTGCTGCTGTTGCTGCTGCTATTGCCACTGCTGCCGGCGTAGTTGTGATGGTGCGTGTGGGCGTTGTTATGGTGACCGTTGCTGCTACTGTTGCTGTGGTGGTGCTGCTGCTGCTGTTGGACGTAAGTCGGCGATGGATATGGCGCTACCGAGTGGGACGGACGGGTGGCGGACGAGCGAGCGTGCTTGCCGAGCGGAGAGGCTGATGTACTGGCTGTCACGATCCCCGTCCCCGTGGAGGCGATGCTTGCCACCGTCGCCGTCGCCGCCGGCCAGTTGTAGTTGTGGTGGGCCAGGTGTGAAGTGGGAATGCAGCTAGTGTTGTTGTTCTGGAGCTGCTGCTGGTGGGTGCTCGGGATATTGCTGCCAACGGTGCGTCCGTGCGACTGTGTTAGGTGGTTGTAGTGGTTCCCGGCTCGTCCTTGCCTGTACAATCGAAAGGATAAAAAGTTAGCAAGGAAATCTTTAGCATGGACTGTATAAAAACCCACTTGAAGTTGCCCACAATCTGCTTCTGGTACTCGGGATCCTCGTGCGGAGGACGGGCCATGTCCCGGTGACTCAGCGTCGGCTCAGAGGCCAAACTGGGCTTCACCTGCAGCTCGTCATCATCATCGACATCCGTGTAGTAGAAATCCTCCTCGTTCTCGCAGTTATCATCCGCGTAGCGTCGAGTCTTCTTCCTGCAAAATGACCGAAAAGTTGCCGACTTGATTAGAAGGATGTCTCAAGGTAGAGATGCTCAGATTATTGCATGTACTACATGTACCTACATATGAAGGTAGAATCATTAAAACACTGATTTGAAGACCCATAAGAAATGTTAATATACTACGTAAATTGTTTTGTTTGTCGTATAGTTACAGAATATTATCATTAATTAATTTAGGTACCTTTATGTACCTAACATCCCTTTCAAACGACCGTTTTTTTGTTTTAGTTTTTTACTCGCGCTGCCAACCATTTCGGCAACATGGTTTGAAACTTTGCTATATTTAATCGTCCGGCCGATAACCTATATTTGACAGCTTCGATAGTACTTTATAAATATCGCATTAAGTTCCAGCTCTAGCCTCAGCTATTTGTATCATCACTAGCACTTTTTGCAAAAAAAAAAATACGCACGTTCCGTGTGAAATCAATACGAAATCAACAAGAGCCATCGATTTTGAGCAGCCGTCCTATTCAGAGAGCAGCGCGCATTAAACTCCAGCGCGCCAATTAAACCAGCTGCCCAATTCACAAGCCATTTTTGTGAGGTGGAAAATTTCGCAGATAGAAAATTTTGCGCGTCTGTCTGTCTGCATCTCTTAGCGTGCGTGTGTGTCTGTGTGTGTGTGTATAGCACAGCCTACATTGTCAATTAACTGGGGAAGAAAAAAGACGCTAGTGCTCCTGCTTTGCTTCTTTGTCCTCCTAAAAACCAGCCAAAATGTCTAGCCTGCGACCCGAGGAGCCCCGAAAACTGGCTACCGCCGCCTCAGTATCTCCGCTAAGCAATTGCCAATTCAGTGGCGTGGTAATCAGCGCAATTGCTGACGAGCAGAAGCTGGAGTTTGCCAATAAATACAAGGGCAGCTGTACTCTGCTCTGCAGTTACGATTCCCAGGGAGTGGTGCTCCGTGTTGTGGCAGGTAGGGCTTGCTTAGAAAAACCCCACTTTTAAACAGTTTCCTTATCACGACCCTAAATCTCTTACATAGATGAAGACCGAAGCCACGTGCTCAAGGAGTATATGATAGCCGCCGATACGGATGCGGCCCAAATGGGACGTCGCAGCTATGCCGTCTCCCTGGACGCGGATAACCTTGTGCTGAGGTTCGCCAGCGACCAGGATCAGCAGCTCTTCCGCAAGGTGGTAGAAAACGTTAAGCACTTACGGCCCAAGTCTGTGTTCTCGCAGCGCACTGAGGAGTCATCCGCCTCGCAGTACTTCCAGTTTTATGGCTACCTCAGCCAGCAGCAAAACATGATGCAGGACTACGTAAGAACAAGCACCTACCAGCGGGCAATTCTGGGCAATGCTGTGGATTTCCAAGACAAGATAGTCCTGGATGTTGGCGCTGGTTCAGGTATTTTATCCTTCTTTGCCGTTCAGGCGGGAGCAGCTAAGGTGTACGCCATTGAGGCTTCCAACATGGCTCAGTATGCCCAACAGCTGGTTGAGTCTAACAATGTGCAGCACAAGATCTCTGTGATACCGGGCAAGATCGAAGAGATCGAGTTGCCCGAAAAGGTTGACGTGATCATATCGGAGCCCATGGGCTATATGTTGTACAACGAACGCATGCTGGAGACATATCTGCACGCAAGGAAATGGCTGAAGCCGCACGGCAAAATGTATCCTACGCACGGCGACCTGCACATCGCACCCTTTTCAGATGAATCGCTTTATTCGGAACAATACAATAAAGCCAATTTCTGGTATCAATCTGCGTTCCACGGCGTCGACTTAACAACGTTGCACAAGGAGGGAATGAAGGAATACTTCCGCCAGCCCATTGTGGACACCTTCGACATACGCATCTGCATGGCTAAATCAGTACGGCACGTGTGCGACTTTCTCAACGACAAGGAAGACGACCTGCACTTAATTGGTGAGTAATCGACGGAATTGTAAGAGATAATTTCAGACAAAGACTAACTGCTGCCATTTGCTGCAGACATCCCTCTGGAGTTCCACATCCTGCAGACTGGTATCTGCCACGGTCTTGCCTTTTGGTTTGACGTGGAGTTCAGTGGTAGTAGTCAAAACGTGTGGCTTTCCACGTCTCCCACCGCACCGCTTACGCATTGGTATCAGGTGCGCTGCCTGCTGCCCATGCCAATCTTTATCAAGCAGGGCCAGACGTTGACCGGCCGGGTCCTGCTAGAGGCCAACAGGCGGCAGTCGTACGACGTGACTATCGATCTGCACATCGAGGGCACTCTGATCTCGTCAAGCAACACCTTGGACCTGAAGAATCCGTATTTTCGGTACACGGGGGCGCCGGTCCAGGCGCCGCCGGGGACTAGTACCCAGAGTCCATCTGAACAATACTGGACGCAAGTGGACTCGCAAGGATCACGCAATTGTAAGATCATTTCAGAAACTTAACAAGAATTTCTAACTTACATAACTTTTCCCTACAGCTTCTAGTATGCTAAATGGCGGACTCAGCGTGAATGGGATTGGCGATGGCATGGACATCACCCACGGACTCATGCATCCGCATTAGAGCGGCTGCTGAATCGAATAACAATACATTTGTCTGGGAATTCTCTTTGCTCTAAGTCTGCTCAGCTTCAACAATTGGTTCTATTTTTATCAGTTTTTGTTTTGTTACAGTTTATATTTTAGGTTATTTATTGAACAGTGTAAATTATTTCGTCTATTCTCGAAAATTAGTTTCGTTTTATGTTCTGCACACCTTTTTACCGGCAGTCCTATTTATCTTTCCTAATTTTAAAACTTCCAATCTTTTTTAATTAACCCTTTTATGTTTGATCGGACGGATCGCAGAAAACCCAGCATCCCAGCAAGCAACCAACAAACAATCAACAAATCAAGGCAGACTAATGTAGTTGTTTAGAACACGCAGCATATTAATAAGCCTAAGCTAATTTTAGCCCATAGTAATTAGTGTTTTTAACGTATGTGAATTGTAATACCGATATTTAACCCATGCGGGACTGCGCTTCAGGAAGTTTCTTAGTTAATATGCCGATTGCCAATTGTAGTTTTTGCCGAAAGCTTTGAACAAACCAACAAATTCAGATTGTACTGTATCTATAACGTGTGTTATTATATTATTATATATTGTGTGTACCTCCAGTTAGTTTCAATTTGTGTACTTGTCGGCCGTGTTTATATTTAGTTCGTTTCAAAATGTAAGAAATTGCTCATAGGATTTAGTGCTAAGTTACAATACAATACTAAAGGCCGACCCGAGTCGAGAGATTATACATATACCCGCATACGATTACAATTAATTCAGTTCTGGAGGAACGCCTCGTTTGGTTCTAAGTTTCGCATCTAGCCCAGATCCTGTCATAGATCTTACTATATCGCTGCCAGCAAGCCGAGCGCTATATAAGCATATACACCTAGATATAGACGTAGCATATGCAAACCCAAACACACACACATAGAAATCCCGTCATTCTCGCGTTCGATAGACTCGCATCCTGTATGCGGACTGTACTTTATAAAGCAGAAAAAATAAAAAAAAGAACACACTCCACCTACACACAATACACTACAAAACATAAATATAAAGCAAAACATATACAATTATATATATATATATACGAATAGATATACCGCATATATGCAGAAGAGAGAACAATGTCAAAGCAAAAGCAACAAAAAACAATGCCCCAAAGCGTCTTTTATTTGTGTACCCCCTTCGAACCCCTTTGATTTAGATAGGAAACGAGATTGGCAAGTGTCAAAGCTCAGCGCGGATCGTGTGTGGGCGATTGGAATTGGACCTTGGCCTCAAAAGCGCACCATTGCACCACACCGCACTGCACCACCCACTAGCTGGCATGCAGGTGCGCAAAGCAAAGTAATCTGCGTGATGGAGAGGGGCTCTGCTCTGGCATGCTCGTGTGACCTGCTTACTGTGCTCGAGTGCTCTACTTTCGAACTGCCCGCCCCCCACCTTTCATTTGCTGTCGGAGAAGGTCTGTGGCTAAGTCAAGGCCCCATCCACTTGCTGCTCGCCACTTAATCCTCTGATAGTAGTGCAATTTCTTGTTCACTTACCCCAAATGTGTTTTTCTAATGTGACGAACGATTTTGTTCTGATCGGGTTCCACATAATGACAGCCCGGATAAACGCAACGGAACTTTTTGGACTGTAATGAAAAGACAAAAAAAGGCAATTAGATTGGTTAAACATAGAATTATCGAACTGAATAAGCTAATTAGTAACTTATAAATTATTAGTATAAAGCCTGAAAAGTTTATAATCTCTTTCGTACTTGACGGGAATACGGCTGCATCAGGGAATCTTCGGAAGACGAGGAGGACGACCGTGAGGAGCTGTCCGCCGTGGGACTATGACCGCCATAACTCTCGTAGTCACTGCGCTCCACGTAGTAATTCAGTGCCATGGTATTCATAGTGGCAATAAAAACGCGACGCGGCTCTGCAGGAGCAGTTGTACTAGTAATGGCGGTTATTTAGCGGTTGCAGGAGCAAGGAACAGGAGCGATTCGAACCGGTGCCGGCCCGGTGCCAAGTGCGACTGTGTGGGTGCGGACAATGCAACTGGCTGGCTGCCTCGAAAGTCAGATTCAGAGTCCTTGGACTGTCGCCCGAGCGGCAAACGATGCCGCCCGAACGAGCTGGCTATGCTCGATGCCGCCTGCACTGATAACAGGGTCCGGGTCCGGTCCGCGTCCTTGCCAGCTCCACAATCGGCCACCCAACAACCCCCCTTATTTACTGGGTCACCTTGCGGTCGCTTTGCTTCGTTTGTCGCTCGCCTTGACACGCTTTTGGCCGCCCAGCTCTTTGCTTTTTATGCGCCTGCATTTATGCTGCGTTTTTATGCTGAAGGTTAGGGTAGCGCTGCAGCAGCGACGCCGGCAATTGACCCAGTTTATATATGCTGGCTCCCTATATATACCCCATATATACATGTATATACATACATTGCACAGTTTTGGGGGCACTGCAAACAACTGATTGCGTCCTTGTGCTGGCAATTGTTGTCCTTGTGCGACTGCTGAACAAATTGAAAACTGAGTTTTCGGTTTCTCTACGTTTTTGGCCTTGTGCGCCAAGTGATTAACGATTTGTTTACAACTTTGTGGTTTGAGATTGCCAGGGCGAGCTTTATTTGTTATGGATTGCAGTTGTGCGCTACGCCATTTTGGCCCACTTAAGCTAAATTCACGGAGGGCGCACACACGGCGTATGTGTTATTTGAGATGTTAGCAGGAAAAGCAAAGGAAATGCGAGCAAAAGCTGAATGCCTTTTAAGGGCGGAGTCTGCGAACCGCAACGTAATCATAAACATAAATATCCTCCGCTACTTAAGCGACGTAAATTGTTAACGCACGTGGTTGGCACGCATCTACACAAATGGGTACACAGTGATCAAATATGGCAAAAATATATTCTAATTTTTAATAAAGTATTACATTAACCTGATATCCCGAAGTCTAAATGATATGCGATTAAGTTTGTACAACAAGATAAGGGTCATAGTAATATATGCTAGCATTGAATTGATCCTTTATCATGTCTAATCACATTTATTTCCGGTGTAGCCGTAACTGCCTGAATGGGAAAAGCGGAAAGTTCTACACAATTTTCGTTTTAACTTGCTGCAATTAGTGGGCGGCCGTAATTCGTTTGCGGCGAGACTTCTGGGGCCGGGATATACCAGGATATGCCTTATATCCTGGCCCATAAATAAGGGCCTGCAAACACACACGCCATTGTTGCCAGCTGTGTGTTGTGTGAGTGTGTGTTTAGCGAGAACCAAAGAAGTGTTTTCCTGCCATTTTGGCCGTTTGCAGTTTTTCGGAGTTGGTCGTCAGCTGCGTGACTGGCATCTTAATATGCTGAATGTCTGCCAAAGGGGTTTATTAATGCCTCGATTTTGTTCGTTGGCAGATAAGCACGCCAGCTCGTTTGTCAAACGCTGCGTATGCGTAATTTTCAATTCCCAGCTGACGACCCGCCGTCAATTGCCATTTGCAATTATATTCAATTAAGGCCGAAAGGAGTTTGAAATCATTTGAGCCTATCAATTCAGAGCATCCCCTCCCTGAATTTACTATTGCCACCTGCCAAGTCATTCAAGTCCAAAAGTAAATTAAAGCAGCTTGAGTTATGTCCCTTTTTGGCATTCAACGTGTAGTGGTGCGTGTTAATTATCCGGCTCTAATGAGGGACTCCCATCATTGGGGGTAAACGTTTGTTTGCTAATGAAAGAAAACCATTCGCCGGCAAAGAACTCCAGCTGGCAAAACTTTCGGGCCAGAGAACATCGATGGATGGGTAAATAAAAATCCACCCCCGGACGAGGAGTGCGTATTACGGACGGGAATGACTACCGCACTGTGTCCTGATTTGGCAGGGAAAACAGCGGGCATAAAGCCGGGTCCGGGAAAACGTAAATAGCCAACGTAAGTGGGCGGCCCAACATGAATCTTCTTTAAGGCAGCTCCTTTTCAGGGAAAATGGCAAGGAATGTATGCGGGGGTATATCCCCTGTCTGGCGCCAGTTCCAGTCTCAGTTCCCAGCTGTCATTATATATACACATATTTATATATATATATATACTTTAGTATAAGTGCGTATATTTATATTTACTCGGGGGCGTACTTCATGCTAATCCCTGTGCGTATTTACTTAAGACTATAACCGGAACGAAGAACAACAGATATTTCCTGATTTCGAATGGAACTGATCAGCTTTGCCAGGCACATCCTTATTAATTTGCCGACTTAATAACTCCCCCGCCTGCAATCGATTTATTTGACGTTATCAGTGGAAGTCCTGCGTTGCCATGCAATTTCCTATTTGACTTCGTATTCGCATTCAATGAAAATTTACTTGACAGCACACATCTTAGGAGAAAAGAAAAAGGAAAAGCCACCCACCCACGCAGGCTACGTGCGTGGGGTAAATAAAAGTTTTTCCTGTTTTCATGCGCTCTCTCTCTGCTCCATGGTTCATCTTGGAGTTTTCCCACTTTCCCATTTCTCCATTTTCCCGTTCCCATTCCCATTCCCGTTTGGCGGCAAGCATAAACAACCCCAAACCCCAGAGAGTCGGGCCGAAAATACACAAAGCGGAAATGCGAACCGAAATCGAAACCGAAATCAGAACAGCTGTGGAAGGACAGTCGCGAAATTGGGTCAACAGTATATAGTGGAGTATATACAAGGTCTCCTTCCACCGAGTTTTCCTTTTTCCGGCAAAAGGGGGTGGGTGGCCATGCCCCTGTATTTTTCGCGCTCTCTCTCTCTCTCTCGTAATAATCTCTCTCTGCCTGAATTTGTCCCTGTCCGTGCAACATGAAACGTCACTCGCTGAGAGGCAACACTGTTAACTTCCCCAAGAAACTAGGCCAAAATGAGCGGCCAAATGCTAACAGTGAAAGAGAGAAAAATCAAGGGAAAAGAGCATTAAAGAGCTGGCTCGAAGAGAATGCGCATGGATGGGGGGAGCACTGTTAACAAAATTGGGTCAATGGAAGGCCAACATAATCCCCCCGTCATAGAAATGGAGCGGAAGCATAAATTATTGACTCCACACTGGCGACCAAATATATATATATATCTATATACGAAAATATATATGGAACAATTTGCCTATATCGATGTGGGAATGTGGGTGCCTGTGGCCCATTATGGCCCAGAAAAATGTGTGCCAAGGCATTAGAGGCATCTGGCGTCTTTTCGCCTCTTGGCTAATAACAGACATGAAAGGTTCGCTCCCTAATAGGTCTTAATACCCGGCAAACTCGAATTGCACTCACGGCGGCGTTTACATTTCAACGCCCTGCAAAGTAGGCAACGAAAATTATGTTTCTGCCTGAGGGCCCAAGACGCTTTTCCCATTCTTTCTTTTCTACCATGATCCTTTGCACACCATTAAAGCCGCCTAAGTTCGTCATGGCAATTTCTGTAATTTGCATTGGGCGTACATATATCTCATATATATATATATATAGGTGTATATATTATAAGTATACGACTTGCCGCAAATCGAATTCGTAGCACTTTGCATGTAAGCAGTTGATTTTAAAGTCTTATCGCTGTGTCTACAGGCAGCAAGGAAAATTGGGTCACATCGGATAAGGGTGAAGCTTTCAACAAACTTTTCGTTGACTTTATCAACCTCATCAGCACAGCTCAGACCACCCACACACATACACATACACACAGTAAATTTACTGGGGAAATGCTATTTTTGTAACGAGTTGCAGAGCAAATTGGGTGCTTTTTTTTCTATCAGGGGTTGAATACATAGTTGTGTTTTGTAATTCGTATATCGCATTTGATTTTAACCTTTCAGAGGGAATTTGAAAACTTGATTATATACTGCTGATGGCCTTGCCAATTTGCTGGGCCCTTAATTTGATTGCGTTTAAATAAAAAACACGCATACACGCACTGGCATTCGGATTCATAGACAGTGACAGAGTGGAGTGTCATAAATATATGAAAACTCAAACACACATGCATAACTGATGTGACAAACACACGCGAAAT